CGAGATTTCAATTTCATTTTTCATTTCTTACCCTTATTTCTTTCTTCTCAACACTCTTCAGCACTACATTTCTATGCCAAATTCTGACAGACTTTTGAGTCTTTCCAAGGGCCTGGGGGAAAAAAAGGTTAACCCAAGCTGCAAAGGTAAGGTCCCTTGCCATAATCCCTATGGAAGGGACTTCAAAGCCCGCATAAGAAGAATTGATTCTAACTTCCCTGCGTCTTTTCAGCGCCCGCGACTCCAAAATGGAAATGGACATTGACCCGAGCCCCGCACACCAGCGCTCCTCGCGCAAACATCTACGCTCTAGCGACGACGGTGCCTGCGATTGGAGCTCAGACGTCTCCGGACAATTCGACGATGCCGAAGAGGCGCACGGAGATGATCACCGATCGCCGCCCGCGAAGCTCCCCAAACGACGTCGCTCGAACGACTGGCCATTGCCCGAGGAAGGTGCTGATTACGGAACCCATGATCGCCGCACCCAGCGCGGTGAAAATGGGAGTCGCAGCGTGAGCGGAAATGGCCCAGGATACAAGGCCTCACCCCGCGCTTCACCTCGCGGCTCGCTAGCTTCGCTGCGCGCTCGTCATGCCGCGGCATCTGCTTCCAGCCCCCGCCGTTCTAGAGGACGAACATCGCGATTCGTCGAAGCGACTATGAGTGATAGTGTCAGTGAGAAACCGCCCAGTATCTACTTGCAGGAGCAGGAAAATAAGAACTCTACCCTGCAACACCGCTCATCTGGTATTTTTCGTTTTGGGAAGGCTATTGCCTCGGCATTTAATCCCTTCGGTGGGTGGGGGAGGAATTCCGAGGGATCGCCAAATAAGTCGCCGCAGAAGGATGTCATCAACCAGGCGGAGCAGGCATATGCGGAATTGAAGAAGGCTGGCTACAAGGGTACGAATAAGGGTCATTACACCGAGGATCTTCGTGTCGACACTACACTCGCCGACCAGACCTGGCGGTCTATCCAGCACAAAATGGAACATGGCTCTCCAGTCAAAGACTCGTATCGCCACACGATGGATCAAGGAAACTATGGTGCACACTCGCGCTGTGAGTCTCCAGCTTCCAAACGCTCCTCTCTTCAAGATCTTCGCCTGCCGAAGTCATTCTTCAAATCCCATGGATCGCCATCTGCTTCCCCAGCAGTGTATTGCGATAGAACCTCCGATGAATACGAGCCGACTGGACTGCGCAAGCAACCTTCCCGCAGGGAACTCTCACGCCAAACCAAGCTGCTCAAGAAAGTAAGCAACCTCGAGGAGAAGTTGCAACGTGCCCGGCGGGAGCTTCGTGACCTCACAGGCAACGAGGAACGGACCCCAGCACCTACAGCCGTGCCAAAGACCCTCAATACCGAGATGGATCCCGCGTTATTCCCAAGGAAGTTCGTCCCTGGTGCCCTTCCCACTCTGCCATCGGAGAGGCTTCTGGATCAACAGGCCGCAGAAAACGGGGCGTCTGACCCCGGCGTGGCCAATATAACGGCCCTGCCATCCGTGGACGGCCGCGACACTTTCTCCTTCGAAGAATCACGACTGCCTCAGACCCCCAGTACGGCCCAAAGTCCAAAATGGCGCTCAAAAGGGATACAGCCGTCGTCAATGGGTAAGGACCGCTCTTCCCGTAAACGGAAGTCTTCCATTCCTGAATCTATCGATAGTGGGAAACCTCCTCAGCCCAGTCCGACGAAGGGCATCAACGATACTGAACACGACCCCGAACTCGAGGTAATTGACTCCGGTCTACTTAGCCCACCCGGGAAAGCGAAATGGCCTAAATCCGAAGCCGGCTCAAGCCCCGGCTCAGCCAAGCGCAAGCAAGCCATCGACCACGCAGCTCCCCCGACCGAGCATGAAGAACAGGAAGCAGGAGGAAGTGCAAGTGCCACGCGCAACATCAAAAGGTCCCCCTACATTCAACCCCGAGAAGTCTCCGGAACCACCCGCTCACCAAGTTCCAAGCCCACAACCTCTCTCCGCATGAGCAAGACCCAGACCAACGTGCGCCCGGCGTCTTCGCCTGCCGCTGCCTCGGACGACGACTCTTGTTCCAACATTTGGTCTACGCCTCTGCCTGCTCCCGCCGACTCCCACCGCGAAGCCTTCTACCACCACCCCCAGCGCCAGATCAATCCAAATCGTAGCCCTCGCACCCCAACACGATCAAAGACGAGTCCTAGTCGGAGACGGTCGGGGTACCTGGTTGACGATGATATCCCGCCTGTACCGCCCCTTCCTGAGGAACTTCGCTCGAGTGCTGCCAAGGTCCATGCCAAGGCGGATAGGTCACCTAAAAAAGAGACCTGTGTCTGCCCCTGTGCTTTCTCCGTCGTCGGCTTCTGGCGCGGAGTCTATGATTTCTGGCCTTGAGGATTACCAGTGGCCTGATGATATCTTCTGAGGGTTTGGGGTTTCGTTTCACTTTTTATGAGTAATGATGCTTATGAGGTTTTCTTATGCTGGGTACTTTGGTTTTAGCATAGCTGTGCGAGGGTGGATATTTGATTGGGTTTCTTTTTGGTTGGTGGTTTTGGTTTCTCGCACTGTTGGTCGTCGTGATGTAACGAAGTAATGAATCTTTATACCATTATGCCTTCGTTTGCTATCTTACGAAGTTGGAATATTTCATACGCTCTAAAGCCTCGTACATCTATCTATCTTCTCGAAGCCCCCAAAGCAAACTGTGTTCTTTATATAGGCTTTTCATATGTATCATGCCTCCAAGCTCTCCTGGTGGACCATTAGAACTTCGTTGTATATACCCTCACTCCTGATGCAGAGCCCTATCCTTAGGCAAGATCAACCAGCTCACACCGGCAGCACCGAGCAAACCAACAAGTATGGGCTGCAGGACCTGGACACCAACCAGTCCCGCGATGATACCCGTCAAAGCGGGAAAGACCGATCCGCCGATTTGACCAAGTACGAAGACAAATGCTGTATAGATGGTCAGAACATAAATAAATATACAGCCCCTTGTATTCCAAGACTTGGGGGCTGGCTTACCGATTGCCGAAGAGCGGATCTCTGGCGAGAAGATCTTTGAGCCGACCGATATACCCTAAGCCACGAGTCAGTCAGGGTTGTGAAAAGGAAAGAAGATAGAGTGGTGGACACATACTGTTGCGAAGAAAGGACCGGAGAAGAATCCCAATAGACTGACTGCTACTGCCTCGGTGATTATATTTGGGACACTAGTAAACCACGAGTATTAGTAAAGACAACGCAGGATCCATATCAGGGTCGATATATAGCTGAGATCACGGAGGTAGTGCCAAACTCACAGCCAGAATACCAACTGCAACCCAACACACAGCAAAGAGTAAATAAAGATCATTCGACGCTCGCCGAGTCTATGCGTAGGTTCGGCGAGGATAAGACGTCCTAGAAAGGCGCCGCCGTAGAAGCCGGCTGGGACATAACCCATTGCTTTGACATCGCCGTTACGGACATTAACAAGGTACTCGACCATCCAGCCTGATACAATTAGTTTCGTAGATATTAACATATAAAGAAGAAAGAGAAGAAGACAAACCTCCAGCGGTGATCGAAGCACCAAGAAAGAAAAAGAAAAACAAACTCAACAGCCAAACCCCAGGAGTAGAAAGCGTATCCTTAATCTCCTTAGTCGCAGAATTCGAAGCTGTCCTACCACCTCTCTCACCCCTCACAACAGTCGGAGCAGCCATACGATCCCGGAACGAAACACTCACAAACGCGAGATTGGCCACGCCCACGCCAAGAGGGAAAAGATAGAAAAGATACCATTTCGAATCGACATTCGCCGACGCCACGCCCGTCGCTACGAACGGGCCAACTAGACACCCGGCCATGTACATAGCGTGGATAAAGCCGAGCCATCGATGCGCGCCGTTCAGCGCGGAGACGAAGGTGTTAGCGTGAGTATCGTTGTAAGCCTGACCTAAGCTAGCGAGGAAGAATGTTACCGCATACAGAGCGAATGGGGGTTCCCAGACGCGCAGTACTTGTGCTAGGACTTGGATAGCGGCGCCTAGGCTAAGGATTGGGCCTAGGTCTAGGTATTGGGTTATTTTGCCGTTTGTTAGGGCTGCGATTAGCCAGCCGAAGAAGGTTGTGCCGTATCTGGCGGTGTTAGCATTGTATTACCAGTTTGATATATGTCTTATTCTTGAATCGTCTTACAGAACGGCTACCATGTTTGTTCCGATGTCGTAGGTGCGTATCACGTAGGGAATGAGGGATCCGAGACTTCCGTCGTTCACACCCGCGACGAAAAAGGATAATCCTGCACTGAGGACTTTGGCATAGATCCATTTTGGTTCTGGGGGTCTTGAGTCTTGGGATGTTTCATTCTCGGTTGGGGTTGCTTCGGTGGAAGCTCTTGTCTGTAGTACGATTGTCTCTGTTTGCGTCTGGGTGCTCATGATGAATGGAATTTGAGAATTTGGCCCTTGAGTAAGATCACAAGACAGGAGTGCGGTTGTTTGAAGCCAGCAAAGGCCAACAAGAAGCGGCAATCCGGCCCAGGTTTGCGTCGTCTAAATTAAACGAAGTTCAATATCAGAACGGAATGGCTAAAACGTGGAGAAATGCGGAGTTGTGGTTCTTGGCCCGAGGTTCAGCCGAACACGAGGTGAACGATCATTACATTAGTGAACTCAAAGGGAATTTGAGAGTCATAAAGGCGCTGTAATATCGTCTGGGATCTATCTCTAACCATTGTTTCTCTAAAATGAATATAATTTTCTTAGATAATGTAATGAGAGGGACGAACAATATATTTAGACCCAAAGCATGAGAGAGGCGATTATTGTATACTTTTATAGCGTTGAACTACACTTGATATAGATGATTATATCCCACGGCCTTGAAAGACTGGAGTTGTTATTGAGAATAGAGCTAGTTCGCCTTCAATAGCTAGACAGTAAGACTGGTTCGAAGCAGCGTTGCATTAACAACCACCTGAAGCACCAAAAAAGACCCTCGATACACCCTAAATCCCAGCTAAAGAATAGCAGTAGCATTCGCATGAGACCCAACACCACCTACCAAACTGTTAGCATATTGCATATACCCAGAATATAAACCTAACCGCAAAGCCCATACGAAAAAAAATACATACCAGGCATATTGGCCGGAGCACTAGTCATAAAGAAAGACCATTTCCCCCTGGCCCGACACTTCTCAGCAAGCCTCTCCAAATCCCACATCTCACCAATAGGACACCCCCACAGCGCCAACAAGCTCTGATGCAAATAGTCCTGTTCAGGAACAGGCCACGACTCGAACGTCGGCGAGTCACCCGCCACAGCCGCAAAATAGCAATTATGCAACCAGTCCCGCATAGCCGGCTCGCGCGAGAGTCCCGCAAAGCATAGGTCCTCGTGGGACCGTGTCGCGGCTGCATACCGCTGCTCAGAACTGAGCTCGTAGTATCGCTCGACGAAGCCAGAGCGCACAAGTAGAATGTCCCCGATGCGGATGTCGCCGCCTTCGGATTGCGGGCGTAGATCTAGGCCTTGGGATGCTGCGCATGCTTGTAACTCTGAGAGGGTGATGCTGTGTGTTGTGTAGGGGTCGTAGGGCTTGTTGTGGGTTTTGGCATAGTGGTGGTAGTCTAGGAGGATTCCTCGACCAGCGATGCCGTGCGTTGCCCAGTGGTGGATACTGCAGCGGTGGCTTGCGGTTTCGCCTACAAAGTCGCTGGCTTTGGCCTAAATGTTGATAGATTAGTTGTCGGAGATGGAAGATGGGGGATTGGAGCATACCCCATTATAGAAACATTGGCTGTCAATGTGGGCGAACTATGGATATATTAGATCAGGGATTCTTTGCTTTTTAGTGAGAATAATAACTCACATGCCGGAATCCATCCCACTGCGTCCCACTCTGCGTGTTCATAATGTATGTATCATCATAAGCAATGCCGTCGACAAGCGTTTTGATGTTATGCTGGAACACTTCCCGGTCAAAAGCGGGCTTCTCGGGTACTGTGAGAGGAAGACTTGATATTGATACTTGTAAGTGGATATTTTGTAATCTTATAGTCCACTGTACTTACTCCAGTCGCACCATCTCGCCAGTATCAATCTCAGCAGCAGATTCCTTGACCCGCTGCGACGTCAAGAGGTTTAATCTGCCCACCTATTATACCCCAAGCAAAATTAGCCACATAAGAACAGAAACATATCAACAGTAGATAGCAGCATCACACCTGATCATCTTTGCCCCAGACCCAAGCGGCACCTTCGGGTGCACCAGGAAGCTGTGGAAGATCTTCCCGCGAAGGGAACCTGGTGTTGTTCGGATCCCAGGGTAATTGGCAGGCAACTTGAGTGGAAGACAACATGGAGTTATTTTGAATATGACTTGATATGGCAGAGAGTCTGGAAATACTGTGAGACGCCATGAGGAAGAGAAGTACTGGATATACACCGAGGGAACAATTTTAAACCCCAATTTGAAGCACGATTGTAACACAGTGACTAGATTGACTAGACTGACTAGATCGAAAGTTACATGTTACACACAGGCGAATTTATAGTGGAAGCAAGGGGGGCATTGGGCAGATCGGAAGGTATAAAATTGTTCTTTGTCCTCCGAATGGCTCATATCTCGGGGATGTACGGATCTCCACATAGTTAATCGATCTGTGTACTCCATAGTTACTCCGTAGTGTAATCTCTTTGTTACACTTTCTAAGAAGAGCGGTCAGTCCAAGCTGAAGGCATGATGATATATGATGTATCAAGTTTGGGGAGGAGCTCACATCCAACGGACTAAATGATCTAAATGATTATCTTAGGTCTAGATCTGGCGAATACATAGATAGGATGCGATTGTACTCCGTATATAGTGAGTGTTTACATAGAAATAGGGAAGAAACAGATTCGAAGGCCATTCAGCCTTGGATTTTTTTTTTTGCCTTTTCATTTAGGTCATTGGGGGAATTTTCCTCCCTGGATGGTTTACACACAAATAACGATATCTCCTCTTTGCGAGCACAAGAGATCATTGTGCATTGGCCACTTTCTGCGCAGTGAAAACATGAGAAGGAAGAATCCAAGGGATCCAGGAATTTCAGAAGACGCTGCAGAAAGGGTATGCGTGACAAAAAAAAAAGAAGAAAAGAAAGAAAGATAACAATAAACGCAAAGAAACACCCATAATTGCTGTTGCAGAAAGTATCGTATGGTCAACCCAGTATGCCCCCAGCCCCAGTTTGCCATTGCGCCGAAGAGACTAGAAAAGATTCAAGTATGATTATTCGTTTCGGTCATAGGTCTTGCCACCCCAAATATGAAAACAAGATAGCAATCTCGCTAGAAGGACATGTAATCAAAAAAAAAAAAAGATCTCGATCAACCCTGGGATGGGACACCAGTAGACTCAGAGGGGACCCGGCCGCCACGGCCACGTCCGCCGTAGCCACGACTGTAACCACCTCGACCACGACCATAGCCGCGGCCACGACCACGACCGCGGTAGTTGGGGCGGTAGCCATCAACGCTACCCTGTCCAAAGGTTTCCATATTGCGTTTCTCCTCCTCGCCGCGCCATTCACGACCACCAACACGAGCGGTGTTTTCCTCACGATCGCGAGCCTCGCTCGAGATATTGTCGAAGAAGGAGGAACCACGGTTGTAACCATGGTTCGAGGCGCCGCCGCCGTTTGACATGGATTCCATAGATTCCGCCTCCTCGGCTGCATGGGCCTCAGCTTCAGCAACAGGAACTCCAGTGGCAATAGCCTCCTTCACCAAATCCTGCTTGTTGAACTTGGCGTTTGCGGTTTGGAAATCGTAATCCGATTGGGGGACTTCGATTTTCTTGGGCTGCTGCGGAGGACGAGCAGCGCCGCGTCCACCACGAGGGTGGTGATGACCGCCTCGGGGGACACGGGTGTTGTCATAAGGGCGCATGTGGTTCATCTGTTGCGTAAGCGCATCCACGGCACCTTCGGGCTGGCCAGGTTGCTTTTGAGCACCAGGCTGCGGCAACTTGGCCATGGCGGCAGCAACCGCCGCAGTGGCGGCCGCAGTAGCATCGGTTGTAGACTGGTTATTTCCCCGAGGGGCGGTAGGAACTTGGGCGATCGGAGGATTGGGCTTCGGAGCAGCGATCGGGATGGCTGGCATGACTCGGCCATTCTTCTGAGCAGCTAGAGGAGCAGTACTGACAGGACCTTGCAAAGCTTCAGCCACAGTAGGCTTAGACTCGATTGGAGGAGTGGGGGCGTTCTGAGCGGCCGGGGTTGCGTTACGGCTCGTAGACTTGTTGGGAACCTTGTCCCCGACTGGGAGTTCAGAGGTAGGCTTAGACACGGGAGCGGCACCAGGAGGCCCGGGACGCTGAGATACAGGCTGTTGAGGACCAGGCTGCTGAGGACCCGGCTGCTGAGGACCAGACTGCTGACCAGGGCCAATGGGCATCGGCGGTTGGAATTGACCAGGACCCGGGGGGAATCCATGGCCTGGAGGGGGGTACCATCCGGGCGGAGCACCATACGGCGGGAAACCGGGACCCGGAGGGAATGGAGGAGGTGGTCCAAATCGCTGTCCGTAAGGAGGGTAGAAACCTTGCTGGAATTGGTGCTGCGGAGGGTAACCGGGAGGAGTTGGGCCAGCTCCCTGGGGCAGCTGGGGAGGGCCCTGAGGAGGGCCCTGTGGAGGAAGACTCTGTGGAGTAGGTCCTGAATCAGTCCCCTGGGGAGGAACTGGTCGTTGCGCGCCCTATTTGCATTGGTCAGCACACCGTATACACGATGATACAGAAAACAAGTCCACGTTTGGGAGGCAACGGAAATCTCTACATGGTTTTGCGCATTCAGAACAGGTCTGTGAGTTTACATCCGAGAATTTTTCGTCACTTGATCAATTCGTCGAGAGAATGGGTGACAGTTTGTTGTGGTGGATGCTAGGAAAGAGCTGTGGTGACTTACCCCGAGAATGGCAGGGTCATCTGGTACCCGAGGAGGCTCTTGCGGTGCGGGGTCCTTTTGGTCCTCCCCAGCAATGCTGATGTCCTTTACATCACTTCCTCGAAAGACGATGTACTCGTAGACACTGGTGGAGGGGGGACTTCCTCGGCGGGGTTGCCACGGCGCCCTTCTGAGCCGAATGACATGACATTCTCAAGAGCTATCGTGGAAGCTTCAGGGTTGATTTCGTGAAGAGTACCGACATAGCTGAAAGACAATTAATTGTGAATAAGGCAATTGAGAGCCTGATAAACTTACCGAATGTCACTTTTCGAGATCAGGTTGAAACGCTGACTGCTAGATGTTAACTCCCACCCTTGGCTCCGAACATGTTCAAACTGACCCTATGAGGTGATTCATTTCCATGGCAGCTGTGCGCGATATCGCGCTGGGTTAAAAAACGAGGGAATACGGAGGGAAAGAATAGGAAAGCGAGGAGGTTTGAAGAGACAAGATAGGAGGTTGGGAAGAGAAGGGAAGGGAGAGGAAACGCAAATTCTGTGGTTTTGTGGAGGATGCGGGCTACGGTGGACGACGTGAGCTCGGATAGCAATTTTGGAGCGGGGGAGAAGTTGATGGGGAAAAATGAGAGCTGCTTTTATACATTTCGACTTCATTTTCAGAGACTTGAAACACAATGACCACATCTTCGAACCGAGATCATTTCTTTCAGACATCGTGAGTCAAAATAATTCTTTGATCTTTGAATCAAAAATAGTTAATTGACATCCCTCGCAGCGCATCTTTGGATGAGCAGGAGCGGAAAGATGCCAAGTCCCAGAACACCAATGGAAACCCTATTCGACTACAGGGCAAGATCCTAGCAGCTCATGCCGATCCCTGGAATACTGGCTCGATTTATGTTGCCCAAAGCAATGGCACCGTGAGAAGGATCATCCTTGCCGTAAGTTCGATTGTAATCACAAGCCGTCTCAAAATCCATTTTCTCACATCCATCCCTACAGACAGGGGAAACAGCTAGGGCGTTTACAGGTCCTATGGCTCCCGTGACTAGTATTTGTCTAAGTCCCGATGGCAAGCTCCTTTTTGCCGGGTGCTGGGACAAAGCTATCTGGAGCTGGGACACGGCCACTGGTCAGCCACGCCAGAAGTACGAAGGCCATAACGACTTTGTTCGATCAGTCACCAGCGCAAGACTTCGTGGGGATGACCTGCTCATCTCCGGTGGTGCCGATGCACAAGTCCTAGTGTTCAATGTCACAAGTGGTGAGCGGTTGGAAACCTTCAAAGGCCACTCCCGTGGCATCCAGGACCTTGCCCTTGACCCAGAATCAGAGAGCACCCAACCAATCGTATTTAGTGCAGGAAGTGATCGGGAGATCCGCCAATTCAGTATCTTTGGCGGCGGTAGTACTACTGACCCTCTTCTTCCACATGACACCAGTGTCTACAAGCTCTTTTTCGATAATGACGGTGATCTCTGGACTGCTTCGGCTGACAAGACTGCTAAGTGCTTGGTTCGAGAGGATGAGTGGAAGGCCAATCTGACTCTAGAGCATCCTGACTTTGTCCGTGATGTTGTTGTCTATGAAACGGGAGGCTGGGTTGTGACCGCCTGTCGGGACGAGGAAGTTAGAGTATGGAACCGATCGGTAAGGGACTCTTTCTTTTTCAGTCTTTATATGTGGTATATGCTGATTAAAATAGACTGGAGCACTCCATCATACTTTCTCCGGCCACTTCGAAGAAGTCACTGGGCTTGTGCTTGTAGGGTCAACCATTGTCAGCGTAGGAATCGATGCGACCATTCGCCAATGGTCCCTTCGACCCGATGAGCTTCAGAAAGCAGTGGAGCTTACAAAGAAACCGACAGATCAGGAGAAGGAGGAGGAAAAGCCAGCCGAATCAATGTTAACGGCGGAGGAAGAGGCAGAGTTGGCAGAGCTCATGGAAGACGATTAGATGATGTGATACCCAATTGTGTTTTGAGCATGTGTATACCCAGCAGAGACATGTACAGTGCACCGAATACCATATACAATATAGACTATACAGTAACTACTGTCTTCAATATACAACGCGCCTGAAACTAGGTATAGTATAGATCACGTGACCTTCCTGATGCAGCCATGACGCACAGGGCCGATCTCCCGTCTCGACCCTTCGCCTCGACTCCCCGCCCAAATGGCGCTGACCCGCACACGACTTTATTCTTCAAGACACGCTCCAACCGGCCCCAACCCCCTCTAACCTGGTCCATTTGTCGCCCTAGTTACGAGATATTATTTGTCCCACGATAAATTCATATTTCACGGACTCGATCACACGTGGGGTAGCTTCCGAACTTGAGTATCTAGGTATTGCACTGCCGGAACCCGTTAGTAACCCCTCCTGGGCCTCGGACTGATGAATGTCTAGTCTCCGACCGGCAAAAGTATTGGACACTCAGTCATAATGGCCGCCTCGATCAACCACTCACACCCACGTCATGATGTACCTGACGCTGGCCCCAAAATGGTCAATCGTTTGCAGCAAAGCAAATCCCCTTATGTGAGAGATGTGTTCCCTTGGGAGATATTGCAACATGCTCACGGAACAACAGGTCCGAGCACATATGAACAACCCGGTAGCATGGCAAGTCTGGGATGTAGAAGCTATGGAGCTTGCCAAGAAGCACAATCGTTTAATCTTTCTCAGTATCGGTTACTCCGCATGTCATTGTAGGTTACAACTACTCCACAGGGCGGTACTTGTATTCTAATCTTGTCCAGGGTGCCATGTCATGGAAAAAGAATCGTTCATGTCATCGGAGGTGGCCTCGATTCTGAATGAATCCTTTGTCCCGATCAAAGTTGACCGTGAAGAGCGACCAGATATCGACGACGTCTACATGAATTATGTCCAGGCCACAACGGGTTCGGGTGGCTGGCCCTTGAATTTGTTTTTGACTCCTGATCTTGAGCCTGTGTTTGGTGGCACTTACTGGCAAGGTCCAAACTCAACCACATTTACGGGCCCCGAGGCAATCGGGTTTGTGGAGATTTTAGAAAAATTGAGAGATGTGTGGCAGACCCAACAGCAGCGTTGTCTTGACAGCGCTAAAGAAATCACGAAACAATTGAGAGAGTTTGCCGAGGAAGGGACGCATTCGCAGCAAGGCGATCGCGGTAATGATAATGACGAGGAAATGGATATTGAGCTTCTAGAAGAAGCGTATCAACATTTCGCATCTCGATACGACTCGGTCAATGGCGGGTTCGGCCGCGCACCCAAATTTCCTACGCCGTCTAACCTCAGCTTTCTACTCCGGCTCGGTGCCTACCCGAATCAGGTCACAGATGTTGTAGGGCATGATGAGTGTGAACAAGCAACCGCGATGGCCGTCACGACACTAGTGAACATGGCTCGTGGTGGCATTCGGGACCACATCGGCCATGGATACGCACGGTACAGCGTGACGACGGACTGGGGTCTCCCCCATTTCGAGAAGATGCTTTATGACCAGGCACAGCTATTGGATGTTTACGTGGACGCTTTCCGGCTCACTCATGACCCCGAACTTTTAGGCGCTGTCTATGACCTGGCTGCCTACTTGACGAGCGCCCCGATACAGTCGCCTACCGGAGGGTTCTTTTCCTCGGAAGATGCCGACAGTTACCCTCATCCCAATGATACCGAAAAGCGGGAGGGTGCCTTTTATGTCTGGTCGCTGAAGGAACTCACTTCCGTCCTCGGCCCTCGGGATGCCCCGGTTTGCGCCAAACACTGGGGTGTTCTTCCCGACGGCAACGTTCCACACGAGTACGACCCACATGATGAATTCATGAACCAGAACGTGTTGTCCATCCGCGCCACACCGAGCAAACTCGCTAAAGACTTCGGCCTTAGCGAGGAAGAAGTCGTCAAGATCATCAAGTCATCAAAACAGAAGTTGCACGATTATCGCGAACGAACACGCGGGCGGCCAGACCTGGATGACAAAATTATCGTGGCCTGGAATGGATTGGCGATTGGTGCGCTGGCGAAGTGTAGTATTCTGTTTGAGGAGATTGAGAGCTCCAAGGCTGTCAATTGTCGCGAAGCGGCAGCACGGGCAATCAGCTTCATTAAGGACAAGCTCTTTGACAAAGCCACGGGGCAGCTATGGCGCATTTACCGCGATGGAAACCGTGGAGACACCCCTGGCTTCGCCGACGACTATGCATACTTGGCCAGCGGGCTGCTCGACATGTATGATGCTACTCACGACGACAGCTACCTTCAATTTGCCGAGCGACTGCAAAGTGAGAATACCCCCTTCGATTTGAACGAGATCTAATGGCTAACTGGTGATCCCAGAGTACCTTAATGAATACTTCTTGGCTCAAAGTGGCTCTACAACCACCGGATACTACAGTACACCTTCCGTCACCACCCCTGGCATGCCTGGCCCGCTCCTCCGTCTGAAGACCGGCACCGAGTCAGCAACACCTTCGGTAAACGGTGTCATTGCGCGCAATCTGCTACGCCTGTCCGCTCTACTGGAGGATGAGGGCTACCGGAGCTTGGCCCGGCAGACATGCAACACCTTCGCGGTGGAGATCATCCAACACCCCTTCCTGTTCGTAGGAATGCTGGACGTGGTCGTGGGCCTCCAGATTGGCACTCGCACAGTAACGGGTGTGTTCTCCACCGCCGATATTTCCTCGATTTCTAATCCACGTGGCGACACTCTCCTCAGTCGGAACGATGAGCCCGTGTCGGCACTCGACCTAATCCGACAACGGGTCCGGGCCGAGGCCGGCGTGGCCGTGTCCTCATCTATCGTGGTCACTTCGATTGTCGACATTCGCCCCTCACACCTAAAAGACTTTGTAGGGAATCAGTCCTTCTGGCTCAAATGCCGAAATGCGCTCTTTCAAGATTTAAAGGCCGGCGAGCCTGCCAAGAACTACTTGATGGTTTGTGAGGCCGGGCGATGCCAAATCATTGATCTCTAGGCACTACGAGAATCTTTTTATGTTTTTCGATATTCACATCGAGAGTTATGTGGTTGTGGCGTTCCGTTTGGTTGGGTACGGGTGATAAGTATGCCACCTTTTGACTTAATTGTTACAAAAATAGTCGGCCGCTTATGCGGCCTTGTCATGTCCTTTTGGTCGTTTTTTCAGATGTCTTTTCAGGTGATAGAAAGCATATGCTGCTCAGAGGGCTTTTCCATGACCTTCGATTTCTTCATATTGCCAGTAGCCTCACTAACTACCTAGTATACAGTTGAAATTGTACCAAATTGCCTGCCATATGCATACTCGTACCATCCATGGATCTAGTCGAGGTCAATAATCTGCAAATAGTTCAGGTATTTCTGAACCCCAAATACCTGAACTTGCCCCACTCCCGAGCAGCCAACCACAGTGACAGCGAGGCAGGAGAAGAGAAGAGATCAGCAATGCAATAGTATTCAGGCTAACTGCTGATGATGGTTGATGAGAAGGGGAAAAGAAGAAGAGAGAGGAGAGGAGACTATCTGGTAGTTGACATGTGATAGTTCTGACAAACAAGGTCATGTGCTATGATCCCAACACACAGCCCTCCAAATCCACATACCTGGCAGGTATGTGGTTTGGAATAGAGTTAGGTTCGAAATGGTCCCTATCATATGAAGTAGAGAGCTGATCTCAGACATAATAATTGTTAGGTCACGGCCAGCTTGGCTGTATTCTATCAAAAGAATATACGCAAATGAGACTCTAGATACATCACGCTTGCCGGGGCCATTCTCATAAGATACGGAACTAGCTGAGAGGTAGTAGCCTATTCACGGAACTCCCGGGGTATATGTACTCAGCGTGCCCTAACTCGTGGCTTGGCGTATCGTCTTGGCGTGGGGGCTATACACCCCGGGAGTCCCGTGAATGGGCTACTACCTCTCAGCTAGTTCCGTATCTTATGAGAATGGCCCCGGCGAGCGTGCTATATCCAGAGTCTCATTTGCATATATTCTTTTGATAGAATACAGCCAAGCTGGCCGTGACCTAACAATTATTATGTCTGAGATCAGCTCTCCACTTCATATGATGGGGGCCATTTCGAACCTGACGGTATAGGGCATTATAGCGACAGGATTGAAGATATAAATACCGTCGATGGAGACTCCCAGGTGCTCCTAATCACCCGAAAGATCATTCAGTCAAAGCAGTCCTATCAAACAGCTATTTTCAAGACAACCTTCTTTGAAACAACCTTTTCGAAACAACCTCAATCTTCCACTGCAGAAAAGCACAAGACATACTCAAAATGCGCTTCTATCTCCCAGCAACACTTTTCCTCTCTGCCCTCAGCGCAGCCCCTGCCCTGGCCGGGCAGGAAGTGGTAGCGGTCTGGAGTGGCTCAACCTTCAGCACAGCCAGCAATTCGGGCGAGCACGTCTGGGACGCCGGCTTCTCGTTGATTGACAAGAACGGCGAGGTAATCTACAACGAAGCCAATCCGGACGGATACAAACCTTGTATCCACATGGGTCAGGAATTCCAGCTCGAAGGCGGATGTCTCGGCGGAGCATGGTACTCGTTTCGGTGCAAGGCAAACCCAATTAGTGTACCGGAGGAATGCGAGGTGATGGGGCCGGATGGTAAGAGTGTCGCGACCGGGGACAGTGATAGCAGTACAGATTATTTCGGGCTGGGTATCTCGATGACTGGCGCTTGCCGAGTGAATTTCGAGTTGTGGGAAGGGATTGACTGTGAGAACGGCTCGGGGGACCTGGTGCCGCATCATACCGGTTGGCACGCTGAGGATGGGTGGTCCTAAGCAATGGAAAGGCCTTCAGTATCTAGTATCTACTCAGATCCCAGTCATAACATATACTTGTTGCCACGGCGTGGAGAGCAATACAGCCGACTGGACTCTGGGGGAACAGACAAATTGTGTATATAACTGGAGAACCGACACGATGAACAACGTCTGGATTCAACATCCACTCTCTGCAGAAGGAAACGAAATGAAAGCTCCACCATTTCAGGAGAAGATTCATAGGCTGCAAGATGCAGAACTGTTTTCTCAGCAATCCGAATACATTATTTGCTACAACGAATCTTGAAATGCAGCACTTTCGTTCTTCTCTACCACAGTTTCGCGGAATTGAACCATGGTAAACGCCGACGAACCAATATCAACGAGATTATTTGTCACACTAAATCAAAAAGCCATGAACAACATGTAAACCATCACAGCTGGTACAATTACAAGAACTATACTCGTTTCCAGTCTGCACAAGTACGCGGTGTTGAAGCTTTCAGAATCCCCCCGACTCTTATCTGTACCGAAAGATGCTCTACTGGTAGTTTATGTGGGACTAAGCTGGGCCGAAATAAGTGAGGCTGTACGAGAGGTAATACTTACGTGCTTCTGAAAGGTCATTTCTCGATCCTAAATTAACCACCAAACCTCAGTCTCTCCGAATGAGCATCCTGCTGCGAATCCTCACCGGTTCGCCATCTCGATAGGTGATCTGTTTTTCACTATTTTTCCTTTCCTCAAGCTTGGTCAAGATTACAGCCACGCTAGTTGGTATTTACGTCTACCTCCCACTGTAACATGCCGTACTCTTTCTTCACTTTGTGGTTTACCTGAGCTTGGCCTATCTCTTGTGGTCACTGGATGAGTATACAACGGCCGGTTCCTGGACTGGGTTACAACTAAGTTGTGCTTTGCTTTGGACGATAGGGTTGGCAGCTGTGCTTCTTCTGATTGCGGTCTTTGGAACTGTCCTGTACTGCTGGCTTTTATCTCTAGAGGTAAAGTCGGCCGCGTACGAGGAAATACCACTCTTGGCTGACTTTGACAGCTGCAATTATGCATTCTGACCATATGGATGATCTTGTCATATTACTCTGTTCGAAGTGCTGGAAGTTCAGTCGATGAACAATCCACTTGTTCAGCAACTGTGGTAGCCCGCGAAGTTTAGATACACAGATTTAAGGGATTTATTGGACGACTAGCAAATGTGTGATATTATCGAACACTTGCTTAAAGCCTTGCGGCGGTGCAAAGCTTTGAAGCAAATTTAACCTGTTCGACGGCAATGACTAACATCGGGGAAACCCATCTTCTGACAAAATGGCCAAATCGCCGACAGACCGCTCGTTCCAAACTGCGTCGTGCAATTCTAGTAATTCTAGCGAAGTCCCTTATGGGGCTAGAGAAATTTGCCGAACGCCAGTAATAAAGCTATGGGTTTCTATTGCCCTTCGGTCCACTCAAACTCTAAGAAAGATCTAATTCAAAGATTAATAATAGAATAACTTGATGTTTTTATTTATGAAGTTTGTATCAGGACTTATGAAATTGGCCACGAGCGTTAGCCATATCACCTATGATTATACCGCGAAAGTACCGGAAATATTTCCACACCGGCCGATCAGTCAATATCTAGAGGCCCTGGCTATCGAGAATTAGATTACCGCAATAAGCCTGAGAATAAAGAAGAGTACTTACTGAAGATCTCGATCCTTGGCTAATGTTTGACAATATGATCACAGCCAGCTTTTTGTTTTTCAAATGTGTAGTTGAGCATTCAGGGGATAGGTGTTCCTCTTCTACGCAAATAATCCTGCCTTTGATAAGTTCAATGTCTGGAGGGATGTTAGGAAGCACAATAGTCTTACAATCTATATAGTCATCAAATTTCATGGGGATAGCTCGGGGTCGGGTTGCTAGTAATTGAAGTGTGAGGAGGTAATATCAAAGGCTTATAGTTTATAGGAAAACTCATAAATATAATTTGCGACTCGATTAGCGCGTGTCTCTACCGCTCTCTCAATTTAATTTGATATACAAACTGGTAGAGGCATTATGACGTTATATATAACTTCGGTATTTTAAAGCTTATATACCGCTAGTTTAGTTCCCGTATAGGGGCTAGAAGTATTAGGGATAGTTTGATCTAGGCGTTCTCTACTTTGCTCTCCTAATGGTATCTAGAGGGATTATATCTAGTTCGGAAGAAGGGACCGGGGCGATGTAGAAGAAAGGCAGTATATGAGGTTAGTTAGGTAGCTAGCTTCGAATAGAGTAGAATAATATGTAGTAAAGGCATCAATAGAGATAGGAGGCCTTAAATATCACTTATATTTCTCGGTTTAAGTCTAGTAGGTTATAAAGGTGCCTATTCCTACTACCTAAAGCGCTATTGATCGCACCTTTTTATTAAAGTAAGGATCTAGTTATAGTTAGTACCTACCTCTTTCGCTAGTAACGATGACATACTTATATTAGAAGTCCACCCCGATTCCTACTTAGTTCCTATATAGGCCCATAGAAATTTCTTTAAAGGCAATACTTTTTTTGAGAATTGAATCCCTATCCCTTAGGGAATAGGCGCCCTCGGAAACTCCTAGCTAAGACGCTAGGATACTACTAGATATCTATAAGAATTCAAGAAGTAGAAGATCCTAGGAACTACGCCCCGATAGAAACAACCCTCTCGAAAACGATTTATACGTCTTAGTAGGGAATATTTTACGTAACCTTAGTTATAGTACTATTTTGATGCTAGCGCTGATAACTTAGTATTTTGATGCTTTATCTTCTGAAGTGGGGTAGGGCTTAGTTACTTTCCTATAACGGCCTTATAATAGTGAAATAAGGGCAAAGAATGCTTTCTTTTTGTCTGCCCCCGTTCGTGAAGCTGATGTGCTAGAAATAAACTCAAATTTTCTCTCGTCCCATATCAACCACAACGGCGCGGTTCCGGGCCATCTTTGATGTCTGATATTCCAGAAGGCCACCTCGTGCGCACGTTCTGTCGCCCGAAGCTGCCGAAAGTGGAGGCCGAGAAAATTATAGAGAGGGTTGAGCAAAATGACGATGGCAACCAATGAATGGATCATCGTCCTTGGCCTACGAGGACCAACCATTGAAAAGTTCGCCAACGACCACTATGGTCTTTGCGATCAGTTTGCCGCGTCCAGTCGCGTGTAGGACGTTACCGATGACTGCATGCACAGCGAGCAGAGACTTGTTAGGAGTGGGTGTCGTTGCTTGCTGTTGTCGTTAACTTGGGCATAAGGGCGTGTCATCGTCGTCATTTAGGAATTCATACTCATCCAGCCTGGGGAACATCTTTAACAATTTCGAGAAATTTGTTTGAAGGTTACTTGTGAAGACCCCACTATGCAGGGTCTTAGATTGATCAGAGTGACAAGGGTTATACAAACACTACGGCGAAGGCAATGCAATGTAACTACTCCATAGTACTGCTTGTATTCAAACTGAACTCTGAGCTTCTAGACTTGCTCCGGGTTCCACTAGTGTAGTTGTGCGTGGGTAAACGAGATCACATGAGTCTCCATCTATATGCCTCCGAGGGATGCATAGATCCACTTCGAGTCCTGCGATCCTCTCTGGGAGGGTGGGATGTGACATTACTCATGATAACTAGTTATGTTGTACGGAGTACTTCTCCGTAGTCAATGCACTTTACATGATTTCTCTAGACTGTGGACCCTGGACACAAATGCCGGAAAGGTGGATGTGCATGTTGAAGGCTAGAATCTACTACTACGGAGTACTACGGAGTACTCCGTACAACAGATGAGATCGTACAGGTAGAATAATAAGATGTTTTGGAATTTCCCCTGATTACAATGTATAGGCGCCTTGTCCCACCATGACCCGTGGATACGAGGGTTGTACCAACGGGCGTCACGTTCTGATTGGTTGTCCCCTATTGATTTTGATCTTCCACTATCACGACGATCCATGGACAAAATATTGGAAGCGGGCTGTCTAAAACTCAATGTAAGAAAAGTCCAAAAAACAGGGAAATCTCATATTAATGCCGGGTACTCCGTATTCCAAAGAAGATCGTTAATTCCATAAATGAGTGGCTGAAACGAGGTTGATTGATTTAATATAACACAGTTCCGCCCGTTCAGACTACCGAATCGGCCTCCAAGCCAAGTTTTCTTAGCGGGATAAGCGGGTGTGCAAGTGGAGAAGTTTTGTTTCTTGATGGGGAGTTTTGATTGGTTGTTAAAGCTTACGGGTGGACACTTTGAAACCGTTCCTGGCTAAGGGGCTTCCAATGTTGACAGTCCCCTGGCTTTTGATCATACAAGATCTTGATTGCTCTTTTGTACTCCGTGTACTCCTCCGTACGTAGGACTCTCCATACGAAGATTTTCCTCCTGAAACCCACGGTACTTTTAATTACCTTATTTCCTTTGACAACCTCTTCTGACTTAGCGTACGTGCCTACGTACCCCCGATATGTGGGCTTATAGAGTGGTCCAGGCTACCTGTGGACATCATACATCACATCACACAGCAGATTCTTAATTTTAATTTTTAATATGTCGATATCCTTAATACTTTAAAAAGAAATTACACATAGAATATCGGAGAATATTTGCTTAATTTCTAAACCAGCCTCATATCTGTGTGAAATGGTATCTAGGACTTGGAATGTACTATAGAATGTGCCACAGTATGGTATGTTCAACTCTCGAGAGGCTGGAAAGTCCCCCCAAAGAAAAGAGAATAAGTATAGCCATTGAAGGTTTTCAAATGGATATAATAAATTTTATCCAAATAATTACCACTTGTTTGCTCCAATTCTCCCAGTTCCATTTGGACCTTTCATTTAAAATTAATATCCCGATTGTTCGCACGGTCCCCCCCCACTTCCTCCTCATCTCCCCTTTCTACAATATCTACCACATTAACCTCCTCCTTCTCCCTTTTCTCCTCTCTTCTCTCTCCTCGTCCTCACAAATCATTTCAGCCTGCATCTTATCTTTCTTTCACTCCTTGAAGAAAGAAGGTGTTTTTAAAAGGCCTGCCATTCATTTATCCCTAACGTACACACTCCTTTGTCAAAGCAGTCGATCTGCTTGACCCCAATTCTCCCATTCTCTTCACAAAAACTTCCTGGAGAAGTTTCTTTGTCTTCAATCCCAAAATGCGTTCTGCTGTCATCATTGCCGCCTTGGCGGTCGGCACTTGTGCTAGGGTTATTGAGAAGGAGGTTTACGTGACCGAGTGGACTACCACTACCATCACCGAGACTGTCACCCAGTGGCCCACCAACACTCCCAGCGCCGCTGTTTTGGTCAAGCAGGACCACACCAAGCCTACCAACGCTGCCCTTCCCACTCTCGATATTTCCAAGAAGGACCCCGCTGAGGTCGAGACCGCCTCTGCTGCGGCTCCTACTACCCCTGCCGCCGTGGTTGAGCCTGAACCCAGCAGCGCAACCACATCCTCCACCACCTCGTCTTCGACCACCGAGGCCGAACTCAAGCCCGTGACCACTGCTGCCCCCGCTGCCACCTCTGTCGCTACCTCTTCGGCTACCTCGACCACCGCCGCTGCCACTGCCGCCCCTAACGCTGCCAACTCCTACCAGAAGTCCATCCTGCACTACCACAACCTTCACCGCAGCGACCACTCCGCCAGCGGCTTGACCTGGTCCGACGACCTCGCCGGAGCTGCCCACACTCTGGCCTCGCGTTGCGAGTACGGACACGACACGTAAGTATTCCTTCGTCTAGCTTGAGAAACAATCATACTAACGTTAACTAGTTCCATCCCGTCCGCAAGCGGAGATTACGGCCAGAACATCGCATACGGTTACGATGGAGATCTCGTCGGTGAGAAGATTATCAGCGAGATGATGTACACTGACGAGGAGCCGTACTTCGCCAGCCTCTACGGTGAGGCTAGCCCTGATCAGACCAACTTCGATAAGTGGGGCCACTTCACTCAGATCGTCTGGAAGGCTACCACTCAAGTCGGATGTGCTACTGTTAGCTGCTCTGACTTGAAGAATGTTGGTAGTGCCGCCCCCTACACTGTCTGCAACTATGGCTCGCCCGGTAACTACGCCGGCGAGTATGCCGAAAACGTCTTGAAGCCCAGTGCATAAACGTCTCGGGATATATGGAGCTGTTGATTTGAGAATGCCACATCTGATATTCTTGTGTGGAGTGATCTAAACCCATTGATCCTGTTCTTCTAAACAACATGTCTCTCACCCATTCGCTTTGCGCCAACTGGATTTGTCTTCTTGTCTTTACCTTCTTCATCATTTGCATGTCCTGCCTCGATCGGTGACCCATACTGTATGTATGCAAGCGTGCTCCGTCCTTCTCCTTGGGAGGACTCATGGCAATGCAGATATTATTATTCCTTGTGAATATTCTTATGACTCCTGTCTTCCGCCACTCTTCCGTGCGGCTCATCCTGTGGATAACAGAATCTCTGGCGTCATATTTTTTTTTTTTTTTTTGCATTTGCATTTGCAAGCGTGATGTACTGTGTACCCCTAGCGTATTATGAAGTTCCCTCAACATCCTCCACAAAATCGTAGGTTTTTTCTATTGTAAAGCCGGTTGTAGTTGGATGGTGACTTAGGTATATGTTCCTTTTTAGCCCTATGACGCTGTGTTCACGTGACCACAAGCTTCCCCGCATGACCGGTCCCTTCGCCCGAAACGTCATTTGGACATGAAACGAGAGCTCATGCCGATATACTTCAAATTCCAAGAATTTCTGTGTCCGATACAGGGTAAACTACTTCCTCCATCTCGGGTGTCGCCTTTTGATCTTTGTTAAAGAGCCAGTCGGCCTTAATCTGTCAATCTCATCGAGGTCCAAGCTTTCTTTGTACATCTTTATCCCGAGCCAAGATACCTGTGGCAATGTACAGGGTCCATCAGTGATTGACATTGACCTTGGAAGTAAGTTCTTAGCCTGGTATATCCGGTATCCCACCCTATCATGTCCCTCTTAATGAGCCCCACGGGGTGAGGGGCATATCCCCCCAAGACAAAGGCATTCCATTGTCACTCTTCATGGAAAAGGCTTTCAGGTGTGATTTATACATGTTTCAAACCTCCAGAATCTCCTGGCACCTAAAAGGGCACTATAGAAACCATAAACTACTCGTCCACGGGGCTATTCTATTGGCAGTCATTTGACATCTGACAAACGGTACAGCAAAACTCATCCGTTTCTCCGGCGCTATCATTCCGCTCTTCCACCGTATCACCCGGTCACACTAACCCGCACCTCGGGGTTGCATACCATTTGCACTATTGAACAGCACTCTGTAAGTACTTTGCTCAATCTGTGTTCCTTTTCCTTCTCCCCTTAGGCCCGAGCCGGATCCACATCTGTCGAGATCACTCTACAATCCCTCCATATAAAATTATCATGCTCTCTTCCTGTCTCGCGCCACCTTGCTTTCTTCTTATTTCTGCATGATCTTTATTTTGTGACCTTCGTATATTCGCATATATCTTCTCTTTTCATCCCCTCGTCCCCTTACCTATCTGTCTGCATCTGCACATGACATAGTCTCAATGCCATCATACTGTCTCCAAGACTGCCACTACTTCTACCGCACAGCCCTACGCCTCCTGTCAATCCCCACCGTCCTCGCTAGTCGCTACGCCTGATTTATCTTTGCTTGAAACGTTGAACACATCTAACATCATGTCTTACTCCTCAATGGCAGTCCGATTCTTCACAGCCCCCAAACCACTCGGTGATTCCATGGACACCGACTCAAACAGAAGGTCCGGGTCTGACCCCCAAGGCCACACGGTCATGAGACCAAATGTCCCTACTGAACAGCCCTCCACTGAGGTCGCTGAACCCCATACCCCTAAGAGCGAAGGCTTGACTTTCGCAAACCAGGATTCGCTACCTAAGCTTCCTATTCCCGATCTGGGGGATACCTGTCGCCGATACATAGACACTCTGCAGGGCTTGCAGAGCCCGCGTGATCATGAAGAGACTAAGGCTGCTGTTCGGGACTTTCTAAAGAATGATGGTCCCCTTCTGCAAGAACGGCTTAAGACTTATGCTGGTTCAAAGACAAGTTATATCGAGCAATTTTGTAAGTCTATTCATAACCTAGGATTTGATGGGAGGTTAGCTGATAACTGCTAGGGTATGATTCTTACTTGAATTTCGATAATCGTAAGTTGGATTTCCTGTTGGCATTTTTTGTGCCCATCTAATATTCGCAGCCGTTGTTTTGAACCTCAATCCATTTTTCCTTTTGGAGGACGACCCAACTCCCGCCAGAAATCATCAAGTTACTCGAGCTGCGTCACTGGTAATCTCATCATTGGCATTTGTTCGAGCTGTGCGCCGGGAGGAGTTGCCCCCTGATACCGTGCGAGGAACGCCTCTTTGCATGTATCAGTACTCGCGCCTTTTTGGAACCGCACGTCTGCCTACCGATAATGGCTGTGTCATTAGCCAGGACCCCTCGGCTAAACACATGGTTGTTATGTGTCGGGGACAGTTCTACTGGTTTGACGTCTTGGATGACGATAGTGATCTGATCATGAGTGAGAAGGATATCTCGCTTAACCTGCAGGTGATCATCGAGGACGCGGCCCATACTCCGCTTCATGAGGCTGCCAAGGGTGCTTTGGGTGTACTCAGCACAGAGAATCGAAAAGTTTGGTCGGGGTTACGCGATATCATGACCAAAGATTCCAGATCTAACAACGCGGAGTGTTTGAACATTGTCGATACCGCGCTTTTTGTCCTATGCCTGGACGGCACAGAGCCATCCACCATGTCCGAGCTTTGTGCTAACATGCTTTGTGGCACAAGCGAAGTCGTCAAGGGCGTCCAGGTTGGAACTTGCACCAACCGGTGGTACGACAAGCTGCAAATCATCGTCTGCGAGAACGGCAGTGCCGGTATCAACTTCGAGCATACCGGCGTGGATGGCCACACGGTGCTGCGCTTTGCTAGCGATGTGTACACCGACACCATCCTCCGCTTCGCAAGGACTATCAACGGTCAATCCCCAAGCCTATGGGCAACCAGCAGCCCCGACCCAGCGAAGCGCGACCCGCAAAGTTTCGGAAACGTGAGCACGACACCGCGCAAACTAGAATGGGACATGACACCCGAGCTTAACATCGCGCTCCGCTTCGCCGAATCCCACCTCTCCGACCTGCTCTGCCAGCACGAGTTCCAAGTCCTGGACTTCGAAGGGTTCGGCAAGAACTTCATAACCTCAATGGGCTTCTCTCCAGACGCATTCATCCAGATGGCCTTCCAAGCCGCGTACTACGGCCTCTACGGCCGAGTCGAGAACACCTACGAACCAGCCATGACAAAGATGTTCCTACACGGACGCACGGAAGCCGTGCGCACCGTAACACCCCAATCCATCGACTTCGTCACAGCATTCTGGGGCGAGAACGCCGCCGAACAAAAGGTCGAAGCCCTCCGCACCGCATGCAAAAAGCACACAGACGCCACCAAGGAATGTTCAAAGGGCCAAGGCCCAGACCGCCACCTTTACGCCCTCTACTGCCTCTGGCAACGGTCCTTTGACGAAGGCCTCTTCCCAGACACCAGCTCAACAGGCGGATACTCCAGCCCCGGTGAAACACAATCCCAAACCCAAAGCCAAGGCCTCGAGTCACCGAAACTGTCCTCCTCCTCCCCTTCAGATGACGGCCTCTCCTCGCCGGGAAGCAGCACACGCGCCTACCGCACAACATCCGCGCCAACACCCGCGATTTTCGCCGACCCTGGCTGGGACAAAATCAACAACAGCGTGCTGTCGACCTCGAACTGCGGAAACCCGTGTCTGCGACACTTCGGCTTCGGTCCTACATCCGCCGATGGTTTCGGCATCGGATATATTATCAAGGACGACTCGATCTCGATCTGCGCGAGCTCCAAGCACAGACAGACGTCGCGGCTTATGGACACGCTTGAGTCGTATTTGTTTGAGATTCGGAAGTTGCTGCGCGCGACGAATCGCAAGCCGACGAGTCCGCGTACTAGTCGCGCAAGAGAGACTGAGGCGCTTGCGGAGAGTTTGCAGTCTGAGTCGCATCGGCGTGGTCGGCTTGTAAGAGGTGGGGGTGTGCAGGGTGCTGAGACGCCTACTTCGGCTGCTGATAGTAGCTTTATGGAGGATGATGGGATGGGCGGATGTAAGTTTTTGAATTCTTTTTTCTTATGCCTTTGGTTGCCGTTCTTTTGCTAACTTGTTATTCTTACTAGATGGCTTCTTTGATGCTGGTATGCTTCTTCATGCGCTTAAGGGTCTCAATGCGGAACGGGAACAACGCGGCGAGAAACCTGCTAGACGGAGGTTTGTGGGGAAGAAACTTCATCTTAATGAATATTGATCGTGTTGGGTTAGAGCGGAAGGGAGTATTTAGTTATTTCAATCAGAAAACGAATGGATTTATGCCTGCTATATACTTTGTATCTCTCATTTCCTAAAACGGACATCCTCGGCAAATGTGGGGAAATCTCCGACATCGGATTAGCCGACTTAGCTTATAGCCTTCTTAACATGGCTGAATTTCAAATTTGACATTGCATATATAATTCATTCTATAGAATCACCGTATCAATCTACATATGTGTATTCTACCCTAAACGCCATGACTATCCACGTCCTCCCAAAACGGGCGCCCCAGTTGCGGGCTCCCCTAACAAGGCATTTCACAACCACCCCCCGCACCGCCAGTTATGCGGACACGCTACCAAACCTCAAGATTGGTGCTCATACCAGGGTATTATTCCAGGGATTTACGGGTAATTATTCCTATTTGTTTTAATCGAGACGTATCCCGCAATGGAATGCATGTAATGCTAATCCCTACCATAGGAAGACAGGCGACTGCCAATGTCAAGGAATCTCTCGAATGGGGCACTAAGATCGTGGGCGGCGTTAAGCCTGGAGTTGAAGGCGAACATCTAGGATTACCAGTCTTCCCATCTGTTAAAGCGGTATGAGTATTGGATTGATTATTCTCTTGTTGGTGAGGGCGTAATTTAAAACCAGTTGACTGACGAGCAGCCACCTCCAGGCCCAAGAACGGGAAAAACCCGATGCATCCGCGATTTATGTTCCCGGAAACCAAACTGCCAAAGCCATCGAAGAGGCCATTGAAGCGGAAATTCCACTCGTCGTAGCTGTGGCGGAACATGTGCCGATCCACGATATCCTTCGGGTATGACATACTTACGATTAATCGTGCTGGTAAAGATTAAACTGTCTTCGGTAACAATATTACAGATCCACTCCATGCTCCAAACACAATCCAAGACCCGTCTAGTGGGCGCGAACTGCCCAGGAATTATATCCGCCGTCGGCAAATGCCGAATCGGCTTCCAGCCATTACCTTGCTTCGCACCGGGTAATGTCGGTATCGTGGCTAAGTCTGGGACATTGAGCTATGAGACTGTGGCATCGACGACTCGTGCGGGACTTGGTCAGAGTCTTTGTATTAGTATGGGAGGCGATGTGTTGGCTGGCACTAATTTTGTTGATGCTCTCAACCTCTTTGAGAATGATCCTGATACTCGGGGTATTATCCTCGTTGGTGAGATCGGGGGTACGGCGGAGATGGATGCCGCTGAGTGGATCGAGGATTATCGACGGAAGAGTGTGGATCCTAAGTAAGTTATTGCGTCTTTTATTTGTTCTCTGTTGCTTTCGAATGTAATGCTAATTGATCTTGGATAGGCCCATTATGGCTCTTGTTGGGGGATTGGAGGCACCCCCTGGGCGGATTATGGGACATGCCGGGGCCTGGGCTGCGCCTGGGGAACCAGATGCAGAAACCAAATATCGAGCGCTTGAGCGTGCTGGCGCGGTTATGGTTAACCATCCTGAGAAGTTCGGTGAGGGGATGAAGACTTTGTTTACGAATCAGTCTAGTCGGCCGGGTACAAATGTGAGAGTTTGCTTTTCTGAATCGGATCTGACGTATACTGACATACCCACAGTCAATGTCCACCAGCTCACAAAAACACGGGTTTCATACTATGAGACGAGTTGCGCCAATCTCGAGACCGATCTCTCAACACAAGCGTAATCTTTATATCAAGCAGTTCCAGGCATTCGATCTCGTCAGGCAGAAGTCTGTCCCTGTGAATGAGTCGGTTTCCAGCTGCGATAATTCTATTTCCATCTCTATTACAGTCGACAGAACAGCTTCATCGCCATGCATTATTGCCTCACCGACATCCGACTTGAACACAGCTCAGTCGCATAAATTCCCATTTCCTTACACTCAGACCGAATTCAAAACCTCTGTTATCGCTGCTGTTGCCTCGCATTTGGGTCTTCCACCCTCTACGCACAAGCAGCTTGCAAGCTTTGTACAAGCCCTCTGGGAAATTTACAAGGAGAAGGAGGCCTTTACGCTAGAGACACAGATTGGCATCTCCGCCGATGGTGCCTTGGAAACTCACGGTGCGCGTTTCGGCTTTGACGATGCTGCATTCCGCAGCTCAGGCCGACAGGAAGATATCCACAAACTTCGGAATAAGTCCGAAGAAGTCCCAGAGGAAGTTGAAGCCGAAAAGGACGGAATTGTTTACGTCAAGTATGTAGAAGCACATCCATGACTCCCAAGGTTACTCTGTATCTTTACTGACATACAATAGGCTGGAAGGCGAAGGCAGCATTGGCACACTTGGTATGTCTCTTATCTACGTCCCATTCAAACGATAGAGGTGTTTACTCACAATGTCTCGCAGTCAATGGAGCCGGTCTTGCCATGAACACAGTTGACGCCCTCACTATTCACGGCGGCCACTGCGCGAACTTCCTTGACACCGGTGGTAAAGCTACTTCGGAGACTGTCAAGGCGTCATTCCGTGTGATATGCTCTGACACGCGCGTCAAGGCCGTCTTTGTTAATATTTTTGGCGGACTAACTCGTTGTGATATGATTGCTGAGGGTATTATCTTGGCTTTCCGGGATTTGAATATGAAGGTTCCAGTGGTTGTGAGACTGCGAGGTACAAATGAGGAACTGGGGCAGAAGATGGTAAGTATTATTAGTCTGATTATCGGCTACCATTGTCTAGTTGCTGACTTGGATATTCGTAGATCGCGGAAAGTGGGCTTCCTTTGCATGCATTTGATGGATTCGAGGAGGCTGCAAAGAAGGTTATCGCGTTGACTAATTATCAATAGTTGCATAGTTAGTTAGCAGAGACACATGTAGAGAATCCTTCAGGATAAAGTCCTATACTAGGGAATATAAGAACAGCGATGTTTATCATCTATATAAAACTGTGCGCGTATTGGAAAGCATACAAAACAAACATAACTATAAATACATGTTCAATAAGCATGGATGGACACTCAGCGGCTCCAGTAGAAAACCAAATCTTCAAAAGCCTTCCCAACATCCTCAAAAGGTACCTTGTGTCCTATCCGAGCCTCCAAATATTCCAAAGCCTTTGCCTGCATGGTCTGGGATTCCTCGCATGTGCCCAAAATCCCAGAAAGCCGCCACCATATTCTAGCGGTCAGAACGCCAGAGATATAATTCCCGGAATTAGCCGGTAGCTGCACAATCCGAAGGGCCTCTCTGAGGCATTGTCTAGAGCGAAATCAGCATTTAGTATGGAATATAGGCGACCAAAAGGCCTGTGATGCAAAACAGCCACAAGAGTTGAATACAATACTTACTCTGCTTCCCTGATATGCTGATCCGCAAACTTGGGCATGGAGAGTATGCACCCAAGTTTATTCCATGAATCCGAAGAAGTGAGATGGTCAGGCCCCATAGTCTCGCAGTAAGTGGCCAGGGCCTCTTTGTGCAGCGAAAGTGCCTGGTCGTAGCACCCCTTCTGCAACATTATATTTCCCATTGTGTATTTTGCAGCCTCGGGATTTGTGTTTGGTTGGTGTAGAGCTCTTCTCGCAGTGAGCTCCGCTTTCTCTAGGTCGCCTGACCAAAGGTAGCAGCATGCTAGATTCTGCGTTAAGTTGCCCAAGCTCCATTCCTGCTCTGTGCCTAGTTTCATGCAACATTCGATGGCGTGCAGCAGAAGGCGTTCAGATTCCGCATATTGTTTCATTCCGGTACACGCATTGCCATGCGCGGACAATATCGATTTGTAAAGAGCCGAATGATGCAGATCGGGGTCTTCGGTTGCTGCTTCGTCAAAGTACGCCTGGGAGAGTTGTATTGAGTGTAGCATATCCTCGGTCCTGCACTCTTCTGCACAGATCCTTGAGTGGTAATAGTACAGTCGCGCCAGAATAATGGAATCCAAGGGATACACTTTGTGTATGATGGCCTGCGCTTTCTGGAAGGCCTCCTGCCCTAAAGCATACTGACCAGTTTCAAATCCGTAGCTGTAAATATGAAAGTCAGCATTGAAGATTATCCGCTATACACTTGTGAAGAAAGGAAAGCTCACTTCACCAGGTGACTCAAACATTGAAGGAGCATTGCTGATACGTGGCCAGGCGCGCCGGAGACAGTTTGGCGGTAAACGCTGAAGGCATGACTCAGAACCCCCTCGATAAATTTCCATCGTTGAGGCTGTCTCACTGAGACCAGGTCGTCTTCGGGTAAATAGTTATGGATGAGTTCAGTGGCAAGGTGGATGGAATTCTGGAATCTCTCAAGACTTTGACTCAGCCGTCGAAAAGTTGCCATTTGAAAGAAACGATGGATCCGGAGTGTCTCTTCTTGTTCGTTGAACTCGACGAAAGATTGACTGATCAAGCCCTCAACGGCGTTGAGGACATTCATCTGGTCCTCCAGGAATGCACCATATCTATGCTTCATTTGCCTCGGATGAAACAGCTGTGTTGGGATTGAATCGGGATCAAAGAGAGATAACACATCCAACAGGACCACTGAATCTGAAGATAACATGGTCATCGACATATCCCAAACTGTTATCACGTTTTTGTTATAGTTCGGTATGGGGAAGGAATCAATTTCAGCATGTCGAGTTTGATAAAGCTTGAAAAACTGGGATGGACTGCATCGTCTTGACCTCATGAACGATGCAGCCTGTCGGAGGCAAAGAGCCAATCCATCATATTGCTGAGAGAGGTCACGGATGGCTCTGATATCCTCTGAGCTCCAATTTCTGTCATCAAGTAGTGATAAGAGAAACTGTGGGCCAGTGTTATTGTCAAAGGTTGCCGTAGTAATGCCGTGCTGTGCGTAACCCTCTTCACGAGTAGTAGGATTATTGCTAGTAATTATCACCGAGCCTTGTCCCGAGCTCGGCCAATATGACGACAAAATCGAAGGGTTGTCGGCATTGTCAAAAACAATGAGAAATGGAACCACTATTTTCAATTCCTGTTAGCGGTATAATCGTGGATTATGTGTAAAGGGCATTTGGAATCTCACGAACGTAAGTTGTTGATGAAATGAAGAACGGCTTCACGGGCCTGACCTTCGTGGGTGAAAATGCCCAGTGCCCTCGCCAAGGAAATAAACTGGGTATTGAGTTTGCTTACGTCGTCTGCATATACCCAAAGCACGACATCATATCTGCCCATGCGACGGTACATGTACTCTTTGGCCAATGACGACTTCCCACTTCCACCCAATCCGTGTATCACAACACTTTGTATGCTCTGTGCATATGGCTGGGAGAAAATGGAATCCAGACGTGTCATCTGTTCTTCTCGTCCGAAGAATTGATCATTCCGAATGCAATTTTGTAGAAATCGAAACGGAAACGAAACCGGTAAAGGTACTGGAGGTGATGCAGGTGCTGCATGTGATGTTTGGAGGATATCGAGGATGTGAATGTCGTGCTTATGAGAGGCTTTGATAGCAGCCGTAGCAATCAGCCGGTCAAGATGTTTGGTGTACTGCTCGATAGTCTTCTGGGACTTGGTGAATTGACTATTGAAACCAGGAGAGAACCAAATGCGAGCCGTGTTTGCTGTATATTGAATCAAATCAACCAATGGGTCACGAGAAAGGAATCTCATATAGCTGTCTTACCCAGTGACGACCTCCGAAAGAATAGGATAGCTTCCACGAGGAATTCAACAAATGCACCACAAGTCTTCTTCAGATTCCGTGCAAGCTCGGCATGATCGGATGGGGGAAGATTTCAGTCCAGTCTTGTACAAGAGGAAGATACATTGACAAAGCCTCGATCATGTCAAGTAGTTGCTCATGCATATCAGAAGATGTACTTGAAACCTATAGATTGAACTTCTCGTTAATAAAAGCCCTCGTCGGGTGGAGGAAGTCTCTCGTACCTCGAGCAGGACTCGCATGCCCCCCCATATCAACCCGACTGGTAGGTTACTCTGGCCGACAACAACATCGATAGCCTTCCCAAAGGATAGGATATGGGAAGAAATTTTTCCAACCCGCCCCATGATAATGTGAGATTTGCTTCCCTGGTACTCTGATTCCAATGGCTGGAACATCTTCTCTAGACCAGTTTGGTCAAAAGATATAGTGTTCTGTAACTCCATGATTCTCTTTCTGTCTTTGGGCTTTAGTTTGGATAGGTGACTTTGAAGTGCTTCATCCCAAAACTCCGCCGCCGTTGTTAGATTACTTTTCAAATATTTGATTAGTCTTGGTCTATTAAGAACGACTTGTGTTAGGATACAAACCTCATGATGTTAGTACCTTGAGGCCTAGTTGAGACCTTGAGTAATAATAGCACATCAATAGGACTGCTGAAGGTCTTTCCAGGGTGCCTCTTCGTGAAGACAACAGGGGCTGTGGATTATAGGTGAGTTATAGCGGTATAATACAGCTGGATAAGACCAGTTTTGGAAAATACAAGAGTGATCTCCATCCCCAACCTGCAGAGAGGATGCAAGTTGAGTTTCAGAGAGCCAAGCCCTACACCGAGTAATGCAACATGCCAACGGAGTTCAGCTGAAGTAAGGCCACGCAGACCATGAAACATGACTTGTGATCTCCGAGCATGAGCATAACCATGATTCAGAACCTTCTTAATTCTTCCTGTATCTTACATCGTTCATGTCCTAGAAGATCCCATTTCCGTTCATCCATCAGTTAGTAGGATTGCTACACTTCAGAATTGGGCGTTTGATAATCGAACCCCTGTCTGAGTTCTGACGGATATCTAGAGGCTCCCCATGACTAGCCATGTAATTTTGGCCGAGTAATACCGATTCATCGTAAATACCGGATGTAAATACCGGGTGTGAAACGCTAACGGGTAGTCCGTATATGCCTTTCCCCACCACGTAAGTTTGGGGACACATGACGAAGATTTTATCGCCAATTACGTGCTCTCCGGGTCATCCGTGGGTTTGATCTTGCGACGTGGCAGAGGCTGAGTGTAATCACTAATGCAACGCGCATCACACCTGGGCGAAGCTAGCGTACATGGGAGCTTACCTCAATAGGAGGCACCGTACGCTAACTATATAGAGTATAAGGAGAGGACCTACTAGCGGGCGGGGTAACATGGAGATCATTGGAACCAACAAATCATAGATATTGCCGCTCTTGCCGCCGAAGGCTTGAGATTAGTCTTGAAAGTAGTTTAGGAGTGGTCAAAAGAGAGCACCGGGACCTGGAAACTTATTACCTTGGAGAACGCCACGAACTGAGTCAAGGCAAAGTTTCAAATCTGTTACCTTGTGACCACGTTGAAAGTCATGTCTACACCGGTTTTGCGTGTTGGAAGTGCCCTGAAGTAGGTCTTTTCTTGGGCTTTATATCTTGAATGTTGTGTGTATGTGTGTGTGTAACTAACCTTCCAGGCCCCTGGCTGGCAACATTAGAGCAACCACAGCGATTACACGAACAACTAAAGAACAACCGTGGAAAGCCTTTTGGCCCTTGGCCCCCGAGAAATATACCGAAAAGGAACGAGCCGAAATGCCTTGGTTGACCTTCAAGTACGACAAGAAGAACAAACCAGAGGACCGTGCTTGGAGAGCATGGTGCATGCAGAATCAGTCAACTGTTGCTAGAAGAGGAGCTTGGTAGGGGCAAGCTATTCGTTAAGAGGAGACCGAACAAAGCTGTGACGGATACCTACCTTCTGACAAGCGTTCCCTTGGCGCACTTCACGGAATCCTCTGTATCTATGAAATCAAGTTCTTACTCCATCGTATTGAAGCTCTCCGTAAGATCTTCTAACTCGTGACCATAGCCAAGCATTCATTCACAATGTCGATGTTTACGCATCTAGCTCTTATACTCTTAAGAGCCTGTGGGGGCAAAACTCGCTGGAGTCCTGAGAGAAGCAACCGATTTTGTGGAAGTGACAGGGCCACCCGAGCGCGTAGGGGCATGGACTATTCGACTCACATACTGTCGAAATTTGAAGACTGCTTGGCAAAAGCCGGGAGAAATGCCCCGGAGATGAAACTGGAAGATAGGGTCGGGATGACATTATTCATCCTTTTGCTTTTTGCTGAATAGCATATGGATTCCACCAATATATCCTTCACAAAATAAGACCAAGCAGACATACTACCACAAGGAACCGACTAAGATTCTATATCAAACGCCGAGACGGGAACAGAAGGCGTTCGTCCCAAAAGCAATTCACTCATCACCTTCCCACTTCCCGGGCCGAGAGTCACTCCATCACTATTATGACCAGTATTGATATAAAGTCCCCCTACTACGGCTTGTTTATGTCCCACTAGGTCCGTGGAGCAAGAACTGGCCGTCCTTTGCAAATCGTTCGGATATCCCAAAAGAGACCATTTAACTTTTGTTATGATTGGTTTGTTGGGAACCGCGCATGGGCGATAGCAACGCCCGGTATCAAAGGCCTCCAATGCCTCGTCTGGTCCAAGGGACAGATACTGACGGGCCACTCTCAATAAGGAATCAATCTCTGCTTGTTGCGGCTTGACATTGTCTGCAAATTCTGGTAAAATCTCTGGTATTGCGCCCCATCCTCCCAAATACAACGAACCATCGAGAAATGAAGTTATGTCCATTGTGTCGGAGTTTGATAGAACATTGTTCAAAAATATCTGGGTCGAGTTGGCATATTCATCAGATATCTCCGGGCGGGGATTGCGAACCCGGACATGATTTCCAGCTGACCATGTTGTATTCATGCGAAGTTGCACGGTTGCTTCTGGGAACAACGTAGAGAATATGTTGGGAGACCAAGGCCCACCTGCAATTACCAAAGCATGGCATGGAATACTCTCAGTTGTCTGGGTAGTCGTGCTAGATTTGATGGTAACGCTGCGGAAACTCTCGGTATTCTCGGCCTGTTGGACAGAGGTGACGAGAGAATTAAAGCGAAACTGCACACCCAAATCTTTGCATTGTTTGTATAAGAATTGACAGAAACGCGCCGGGTCACTATTCATATATCACACAGTTAATAGATTCCGTTCACATGATGTTCTGGGGCACATACATATGAGAGGAATGAGGCACGGGCGCCAGCAATTGCACTGACCAGTGGTCAGAAGACTTTATCCAGTCGGGTAGGCTAGATAAATCCGTTTCCACAGGAGGTACTGGAGCCCATGAATCTGGTGGCAATAGGTCTCCTGTGAAATTTTTCGGTGTCACACGGAAAATATTTTGGTCCCTAAAACCCCAATTCTTCCTGCCCTGATAAGTTGAAGCTAATTCCTTATGTAGCCCATAGGAAAGTTCCCCCAAAGGTGAAACTGTGTCGCTAAATCCAAAATCGCCTAATCCCCCTGTGGCACCACCAGATGCCCCGGGGCAGATGTCATGCGATGGCTCAACCACAACCACATTTGGTCGAGATGACAAAGAAGATGTACCATTTTCTTTCAGCGAGAGAGCTAGATAGTAGGCCGTTGAGAGACCTATAACACCAGCGCCAAGAATTACCGTGATGTCTTGCTCGATTGGGAGGGCATCATCGTAGACACCATCGACTGGTTGTTGGAGTAGGAATCCGCCGGTAAGCAATTTGGCGGGCGCTGAGGACAGAAATCGGAAAATTGATGAAAATAAATCCATGCTTTTCTTGTGGATGAAGGAATGCTCGAATAAGGTCAGTGATTGACCTCCAGAAATTGGTTGTCAAGCAGAGGAAGGAAGGGGCCTTGATCGGTTGTAGGTCCTCAAGGATCGAGCGGTGACCGACCAGTATGGCCACGGCATAATGTTATTAATGACACGTAGGCAGGCAGCCTACACATACTAACTAGGTGCTTCGCCATGCATCCAAAGTCGCTTTCTCCTTCCTAGATTGCACATACCTAGATTGAAGTCATATGTTACATGTAACATGCAACTCTTATCACTAAAAATGATGACATTTACCTAGGTATTCATTCCCTATTGGACCCAAGGTTGCTTCTTATCGCGGAGTTGTGAGCCTACGGAGTAATTTCCACGGTTTGGACATACTCCAGGGCTCCAGGCGCATGATATTAGTAACCCAATATGTAGGCCCCCCGGGGCCCGGGGGCCTGACCACGTAAAGTTCCAACCTTGGAAGGTTAACCACCCGCAGTTGGGGCATTCTGTACCCACGGATCTACCCACGGGTGCCCCTGCCCAGGTGGACCCATGAACCCGTGGACCCCACTTCCCCCGCTCCTTGTGTATTCCAAAGGTTTGCAACGGCCGTTTCTCCTTCCGAGTTTGTTGTAATATGAGACATGGGCACATGCATAAAATGAAGGACAAGGATTATCCTCGAATTTGCAATACCAAGCTCGGTGGCAGGGGTACAGTACAGACACGTTACCAATGATTAGGGTAAATGACCGGTGCTGTCTAGATACAATAATACAATAATACGTGTGGAAATTTTAATGTTAATATGAACCACATGTCGTTTTTCCCTCACAGGATCACAGGAACATATACCTTTGACCCAAATGCTTCTTCAACTTGCTCGAAACCGGACTCCTTCCGCGTTGGCTCTCCACGTCAAAACAATGACGACCAAGTCCTCATCAAATTGGTCGTCCAAGAAGTTGACTGAAGGATTGACGGATACTACAAGAGTCGCCAATTATACAAATGGTGGTCCTTTTGAAGCAAGAACAGTTCGAAGAATCATCCTTGGTTCAACCAATTTCACGTATCGTCTATTTTTGAAGACCCCATATACTTTGGGACAGCAGCAAATCAAGACAGCAATCTTGAAATATGCCGCTCCACAAACCGCAATGCATCCTCAGGTCGAATTTAATCCTGAGAGGCAACTCTACGAATCTCGTGCCATGGCCAGAATTCCATGGAAGGACATCTTTCCACAGCCATACAAAGGTTTGACCTCGCTACCTCCCACAATAGGAGTTCCACATTTGTATTGGGAAGATCCAGCCAGACGGATTATCATCATGGAGGATTGTAACCCACGCAACGATTCAGATGTGTGGGAAGAGAGATCGCATTCGGCCCGGATATTTCTCGAAGAGATTCCCGAGTCGGAACACAAATACAACACAGCGAACGTTATCGGATACCAACTCGGGGCTTTTCTAGCAAATTTACATAACTGGGGTCGTGACCCACGCAACACAACCTTGGTGCAGGGTTCCTTTGCTGGTAATTCGTTTGCCAAGGCTCTAACTATTCAGGAGGCCTTCTTGGATTTTGAAAAGAGTATTGAGCGCATTGGACATTCCGAACCAAAGGCATGTGCACTAAAGCTAGAGAATCATATACACGAGATGCAGACTCAAGTATCAGAAAATTTAGAAACAATGATCATGGGAGACTTTTGGTGAGTTTGGTGTGTCTTTGAAACAATTAAACCCTTCGCTTACTTTTGCCACCTAGGCCGGGAAATTTCATTTTGGCATTCAACGCCGATGATGACCTAGAACGTTTAAGCATTATAGACTGGGAGTTTTCCATGATGGCACCAGCCTTTGTCGACCTGGGGAACTTCATTGGGGCAGTCTTTGTCAATCATTACTTTGAAAGCAATGACGATGTCTACATTTTCCTTTTGGAATCTTTCAAGGAGGCCTACACCCAAGGAGCAAAGCACATGGACATTCGGATGATCATGAAATATGCAGGAGCTCATGCTATCCAAGCTCTCGCGAGAAGGGTAAACTCGCCTCGAAGTAGAGCAACGAAAGAGAATGCGGCATCATTCTTGACTCGTCAGCTTCAATATATATCCGATGAAAGCACAACCGATACACTCGAAATAGCGTTGAGAGATATGAGATTGAGTCGCCTATCGATCCATACAGATAGAAAGCTTGCGTGAATATTCCATATTACAATCAATTGTTTGCTTTCCAGGTCTCGTTCGGAAGTATCTAGGAGCGAGAGTCGATTGTATTAGATAGGGCACCTTCTAGATACGAGACGAAAGAAATAATGCGAGACGGGGGGAGCAGGAATAGCGTACCTCTTCATGTATGTGTTCCTTTGCCGATCCTCGTGGATACACAACTATTGATTGACATTCAAAACTTTCTCTTGGCCGTGCATTGACTGGTGCGAGGGGATCACGGAATGCGGCATGGGGACATACTATATAAAACACTAGGGGTTAGCAGTCATCTGAATCCCGAGCACGGAGGACTCTCAGTTACCTCTTGCGTTTCCCTTGGTTGCAAGCGAGTCAAACGTCTTGAAAATTAGAACTTCGTCTGGCCGTTGATCCTCCAGATAATACCACTTGTGGCTTTCGTTGTAGAGAACATTGTATGTTTCGCGAATGGCATGAGTGTATATATTGTCGGACGCAACCAAATCATTTTCCTTGTCCAATGATCTGTAATCGAGCATTGCCAGAGGCCAGTCGCGCAGCGGTCCGAAAAGTGGCCTCCAAACACTGACACAATTACACAAAAATGTATCAGTTCATGATCAAACCTCTTGAGGCTTTAATAGCATACCTTAGAACCTGCCATCTTCTGCCACTCAGATCGGAATAGCCACCTTCCGCAAGTGTGTCTTGTATCTCTGCTCTTATACTATCCGGAGTAAAGTCTTCAAGAATTTGTCAGGTCCATCGAACTCAATGTGGGGAAGAGAATAAAACCTGAAATGGGGGTCACTAACCGACATGTACCCCCTGAACAGGTTGAGGGGTCATGGCATCTGTGCCTCGGGGCAAGGTTGGGAATTGAGCGTCACGACGACGAATCTGGGCACATGTAAAGAAGGGGGTGTGAGTTTGGGGTGTCATTTATCTTTGTTTAACTTCATACCTGTGACGAAATGGGCAACACGGCCTCTGCTCCTTGAATCTTCCTCTTCAAAAAGCTTTGCACCGCTGGTATTACGTGTGTTTTCACCTTTTGCATATCATAATACTCCTCCAATGAAATACAGTCGAAGAGAGAGTTTGGCCCACGTATCTCCTCGTGGGCAACTTGGAAGCCCTGAACATCCAGTTTGAACTCATCCTGGCGTGACCGTATGCCCGTCACGGAAATTCCCGTGTAAGGGACCGATACCTCGTTGCACTGCTGACCCGGAGGAAGTGCCCAGTGAGGAATGTTTATGTGATAGGGTTTGGTTGTTTGATACAATGGAAGATTTTCCAAGTAGTAAAACGATGCATAGGTACTCAGATGACGGGCAGGAACCCTTCCTTGGGTAATTCTTCTAGACTGATCGTATTTAGTATAACATCCATGGATAATAAGTTGAGCACTTGTGTAGCTTACAAGGAATGAAGTCAACATCATGGTGAAGGGCGAATTGAGATTTCAGTTCGAAGGAAACCTTTGAACTGCTTTGAGAGGGGTGGAACAGTGGACTAGTAGTTACCTAGGTACATATATACTTAAGACTAAGCAGTCTGACGCAGGACTGTATTGTTTCATGAAATATAAAACAAAAAATACGCACATTACTAGCTTGTCAATTTGGTAATCCATACTCTACCTACGTATTTATGTAACTAACTAATATCCCGGTCATTTCCAATCTGGGAAGGTTTTCCATCCACGTCACCTGGGATTCTGCATTGCGTCTCCACGTTGGGACATAACTTGCCTTACAGTGCCCATTCAAAGTGTACTCTCCACAATACTGTAACCACAAGATGTTTATCTGTTCTCGTGATCTGCTTCCTCGCCAGCTACGAGTAGCGGCTCCCGCTCTTCATCTGGATACTCATCCACGCTCTGTTTCGGCTCTCCCTTCATGAAGCAAGACACTACAAATGCAGTGAAGAAAATAAACTGGCTCGGATGTCAGCTGTTAGGTTCCAGAATTAAAGAGAGAGAGAACCGTATACCGTCAAAAGCATGAAAGGTAGAGCAAGCCAGCGTCCACCAATTTTCAAAGCCCTGCTCCAAGTAAATTGTAACATGGGGCTCGCAATCAGATGAGCGATGGCATCGGTGGTCGCTACCAGCGTGTATAGCTTTGCTGTATCACTCGCTATGGGGATGTATGAAGTCAGAACAGCGAGGATTGAAAGCCGAACGCCGAATCCCAGCGCATAGACGATAAGTGCTGTGGATTATGTTAACACCAGCCAAATGATCAATTTTTCGACCTGGATTTACCAATAATAACTAAGCTCAACGTAGGCGCAACTGCCAATGTTGCTGCCCCAAGACCGAGTAGGAAGCTGCTAGCCCGGGCAACGCAAATGTTAATGTCGGTGATAGACCAGCCTGCTCGTTTCTCTAGTGCGGCGGAGATAGCAGGCAACACAATTAAGAACGCCAGAATATTCACAGCCGACACAACAGACAGCAGTGTTGCAACCTAGTTCCTGTCAGAAGGACTGTTTTCAAGGAATTTGTTTCGCTGACTTACCTTCCCAAGCTCTATATCGAAGCGAACAGACACATATGGTAGAAGTATCTCAATCAAGTTTGCCCGGAATTGGGCAAGGAAAATGGTAGTAATTCCAATAACTATCCGGTAGTCTGAAAGGAATTTGAGATAAACTTTGATACCACTGAAGTTCAAGGCAGACATGCCTCTCTCCTGTGAAGCTTTCTCCGGTAGGGTTTCAGGCATATGATAGAGGATAGGGAAGGTGAGTAACAAAGAAACACCACACACAACATAGGGTAGCCAAAGCGAATATTGAAGGCTTCGGTATGTGATGAGAGGTCCAATGAAATCTGTTATCAGTACAGCTGAGTACACGCGGTAAAAGCCGTTGCTCCTAGTTTTTTGTTAGCTGCCAACTGGTAGAATGGCATAACTCAGATATACCTATTTGATTCTTCCGATAGGTCCGAGACCATAGTAAGACAGATTGCGATCGCGATGGCTGGACCACCGCCAATAAGCCTAAATAAGGAGGATAGCCAAACAACCTCGACAGGCAATATATCCCATAATGAACCTGCATGAGTTCAAAGTAAGTTTTTTATTTGTTACAGTATTGACATATTCATCTTCGACCCGACCAGGGGAACTCACATGTCATGTAAATCCAGCCCATGCTACAGAGTGTACCGAACACCGCCAGGGCGAAGGTTATGCGGCGCCCGTAACAGTCGGCAAAGTTTCCGATGACAGAACCGAAGAGTATCACTATATTGGGCTCGCACTGCGTTTCCTTTTTCTCGCCAGGTAATCTCACATCGCGGATGACTCACAGGGAAGGCTATCGAAAAAGCTCAACAGGCCTCGATAGTACGCCAACTGGACTTGAACTGGGTTCCCCTTACACATCTTCTCATCTATAGGGCTAGTTGGATCTGTCGATCGATGAAGTCTCTGACAGATGGCATTTTCGAGGAGACGAATCGTGGGCACTCTCTGCACGCTTTCCTCCAGCTCCAGCAAGATGACCAAGCCGAATATGAATACCATGGGTGGTATACGGCGAATAAATGCCCCGGTTGTCCCATCTTGCTGGAATCTCATATTCCGTAAAGAAAGTGGATAGAATAAATTTTATGAAGCAAGTCCACTCTTCAGATGGAGGTGACAAGGGGGTTAGGATCGCGGTGAGAACAAGGGGGCTGAGGTGAAAACACATAAATGCCAAGCTACGGGTACGGGTACGGGAGATGGATACCACAGTGGACCTGCCCCCACCTGGGCACCGTTTTATTTGAAACCCCTGGAGTTGGAATCTTGCAATCTTGGATATAGGATAACACTGGAAACCTTGGAAAGTACGTTCAATATTCTTATTATTCCATTTGAAATGGCGTTTACTGTGTTATAAACCTCGTCCTAGTCTTACGGCCAGGGTCCGGGGCCGAAATCAGTCCAGCCCCTTCGTGCTGACCTCAGGAATAGTGCCTAATGAAACAATTATTTTACGGCCATACTAACGACAATCTGAGCTGGAGGCACTACAGCTCCAATCAAGTACCGATATCCCTTTCAATAATGGCCAATCGTGATTATATTGTACCCCGGCAATTGGGTACAATGAACGGCCCACAGAAACCCAATTTCGTGAACATTTCGGAAGGCCATACTTACTTGTCGAGATCCAGGTAGCAGATTTGGTACCACACAAGGCGTCGAGTCTGGCATTCTGCCGGTGAGAATCCACACTCTTCGGGCTCACGATGGAGTCCCATGCATTCTGCGACCCTCGCCTCATCGACACACGTTGGAAGCTGAGACACCAATAATATGTTTAGTATATGTGACATCTGAGCAACTACGCAATAGATACAGGTGATATAACCTCATCATATTTATATGCACATACCAGATACGCCACAAAGGCCTGCAAAGTTTAATCTTGGACGATTGAAGGACATTGCCTTTACTGAGCGCAGTTTCTGTATCAATCTACAGCCTTCGCTTCATCTCATCTCGGACGGTGTGACATAATTCAAGTGCCTGTACTTTGGACATGACAACCACAGCAGAGAATATAGCGGAAGACACATGGGGTGCCGGGGTTCACGGCATTTCATTTTGCGTCGGCGACATTCGAAGCATGAAGACATAACGCGATTGCGGCACCGGGAATTTTCACGTTTTGGGGCTCTTTCCTCACTAATACCAGGGTCCAGGTGTAATTGAAGCCATCGTGTGCGAGTTGTAGATTTAGTGAAATGTAATCTTGCAGGGGGTTGTAAAGGGCCTCGGGGTTATACAAAAATGAGGGAAATGCCTTTTGGGGCTTAGCTTTAGTCTTAATGAAACGCACCAATCATCTCTAGATCTAAAGGAGTGATTTACTATTCAAGCTGAAGCGATGCTGAACTGCTAACACCTCGTACTTGAGGCTGCCGAAGTGTAAATGTTTATAACTACGCCTACTACTCTCTAAATGCATTTCTCCGGCTTCGTTGGCCTGTCTCTTGATCGTGCGGGTTACCTGGGTGCTAGGGTTGAATGATCAGGGCTGTGTATCTCAACTATGTGATTTGATGTAACTATTTAAAAATATGGTACATGGTGTTATGTAATGTATGTTTGCCTGTCAATCCCATCTTCTCCCTGTGGACAAAACATCACCAACCCCAGAATGGATCAGGTACAAGCCTCGTGTCATCCTCTTTCTATATCAATGATAAACATCAGATTAGTAGCTGAAAGGTTCAAAGACAAAGTAATTATAGTGACTCACACTCGCTGTCGATTGGACGAAGAAGGAAGGCCGCATCGACTGATGGATCCGAATGTTGGGCCTCCAAGTCAGCTCCCTCCCCAGCTGCTACCACTAGCGGGGTTCCCGAGGGGTGGAAGGTGAAGGTGTCATCATTATTCTGGATGACTCCGAAAAGCTGCGCATCGTTTCCAAGCGTGTCCACTTTGCACTGATGGTCGCATGCAAGCATCCCCTCGGTGTAGATGTTTTGTATAAAGAAGTCGGGACCGGAAGCGACTAGACGCCAGTGCTCAGCTTTTTTGCCTTCTGGGTGTACCAGCTCAACCTGATGTTTGAGACCGATTGCTTGTTGGATCCCCCAAACATCTCCAGAGCGTGCGGATTGGATCTCGTAGACTCCGGTGCTTTTCAAGGCGAGGGTTTGGCTGAACAGGCTGGCCAGGGCGGCAATGGTAGCAACGGCGTACTTCATGTTGTGCTTTGGATACGGAGGCTCGGCAATCCGATTTTTGGGAAAGAACGATGATGGTACCGGTGATGGAGGGTGAACCAGGGGTTTAGAGGATTTATACAACAGACAGATAGAAGATCGAAGTATCAAAAATGATACTCATCATTTTCTTGATGTTTTATTATGCATTATGCTACTCCGTACTCCGCACTGTTATTGGTATATTGCTTCAACTGATGCAGGTTATCAATAGCTTGATGCTCCATATAGGTACCGAACTGGAGAAATGATGTGTAAGTCAGTTTCTTTTGTTAGCTCCAGGGCTTTTAATGTAAGGGGTCAAATGAGGACTTGGCATTATGTACTTCGAAGTTGCTATAGGCACATCAGTTAAGCCCCTTAGTTATGAATTCATTATAAACATGTTCAATCATCATTATTATCTCTGAAATAAGAATAGAAGACTTTAGATAACTATTGATGCCTGACAATCCTGAGGCATAAAGCCGAACCAGAAAGGTCTAGCCCTTTTTTTCCTCCACGATTGACCAGGGATGCCACCCGGCGCTGACGCCATTAATTCCCGAGTTCTATTTCGAGCCGAAACGAATCTTTCTTGAATTGAAATGTATACTTAATCCTCCTGTTGACCATTAACCATTAACCACCCTTCCTGTATATTTATTCCCCGTTACACCCGAACTCCCACGTGCCAGTGTCATGTCTGATCCAAGCGCCGAACTCGAATCCACACTCCGCAACCTGTCCATAGGTGAAAAGGGCCCGGTACAAGACATTTCCCGACCAAACGTGAAAAAGCTCCCAACAGCAGCCGTGACGTCAAATAAAATACCCCGCAAACCCGTCGCAGACTCCTGGGAAGATGAAGCAGACCTCTCCGCCCCAGAAAGCGAGGAATCCCAGCCCCACGACGAAGATGCTAGCCCGGTGCTATCGCCAACCATCGGCGCCGAGGGACCGCTAGGTCCCCCGCCCACACCTATCTCCCCGCAGACCTCCAACCCGTGGACGGCGAGAGCTGCTTCTCCTCCTTCGGCGCGGGGAGCTCCTACCCGTCGTCCGGAGAAGCAGACTGCTGTTGCGGAGCGGCTGATAGCCGGTGCATTGGGGATCCGCGCTCCGAAGCGGACGGAGCAGCAGCGCGCTTATGATCGCTCGATTAAGGAACAGGAGATCCGGCGGCGGAATCGCGAGCGCGAAGAGAAGGCTAAAGCTAAAGAGGAGGAAGAGAAGATGAAGGCTTCTGTTTGGGACAGTTAGATTGTTTTAAGGGGAGATCTTGGATCATATCAGGGGCGATTGGCTCTCGATATATGTGTACATATTGTTGAATTGGATTTGTTTACATGTCTTCTCTTTACGTGGCGGATTATCATGGGCCAAGGAACAGGTGGCTCTTTGTTTTGTGTGTGGGCTTGGACTTTACTGGCCCATAAAAAATAGATGTCTACAAATGGTTCATCAACTGCACCGGGGAGTCAACTGCGGGGTTTCCTAGCCCGGGAATTGATTGATAACCCGTTGCTTGAGGCGTCTAGTGATGGAAGGGTCTGATGTGCAAAGTACCACATAGTATATATCGACGCGCAAACCTGCATCGAGATCTAATAGACCATTTAAGGCAATAAGCGAGACAAGATGTTACACCATCTCCACTCTCCCAGGAAAGGATAGTCTCTACTAGGTTGGCACACGTATTGGTTTCTTAGTCCTTGGTCGAAATACAAAGCCTAGATCAAAATCAAACTATGTCTACGCGATGCGGTCATGGGAAATTTGTTGTAGCGAAAGCACCCTCAAAGTCTGCAGAGAAGACTAGGTGACCTTTGATAATCATCATTCATAAGAAGAAAAAAAGCAGTATGAACGCCGCCCCTTCGCCCATGGGCCGTCATGAGGATCCTCTATCCACTGCTGGCAACCAGCCCTAGCGTATCCCCCCCACGTATGTCACCCGTATGTCACCCCAGCAGCCTCGTTTCGTTGGAAAGTGCGACTCTAGCGTGTAGAGCTTGTGGTCTAGCAACCTCCAATCTGCTCCTGGTGGACCTCCAAGGTGTCACCATCCGCCATATCGAGCTATTTTCGGTCAGTCTCAAAGTTCTGAGAAACCAATGGATGGCAAAAAAGAGGGGGGAATGTCCGTACAGTTTCGGGCGAATCCTCAGGGCGAACCCGGGTGCCGTCAAATAGGAAACGAACAGTAGACATTTGCTTTCCTTGTCGTTCGCAGAAGGCATCCATAAGCTTCTTCAGCTGCGTTGTGCGCTTGATCTTGAAGAAAACTTCGTTGTTGTTATCAGTCACCTTAATGTTCAGGTGCTCGGCAGCGGGAGTGGTGCCTTCTTTGTCGGACATGATGAATGACTGTTGTAGTCTGGATTTCGTTAAAACGCCTACTTTGTATGGGGCACGGAATGGTGACGAGGCAGAATGCTTACAACGGTAGAAGAGTTCAGGAACCTGTCCAAGCGGGGCTTTGAATTATGTCTGAAGAGTTTAAAGATGGTTAAACCATGATTTCAACACTTGTTGGTGGGGGTCCACAACTGAATTATGAAGTACTCACCTAGAAGACTAAATCTTAGAAGCGAGATAGTGAAGGTTGTGGAAACGGCGAAGTCAGAAGAGGGAGGAAGAAGAGAGATCAGCGGCGGCGGCAGAATAGCGCACTCGCCCCACGGTCTGAAGGCGGAGAATCTATTTTGCGTTTGGCTCTTCTATCACTTTCGTCACTTCAAAGGAACAGTGTGTCTACAACTCTTTGTAGAGTACAGTTTTGGATAATTGCATTATGGTATGAAAGAAATTTATCAATATGAACATATGGCCTAGATGCTAAAGACCTTTGTAGGGTAATTTAAAGCAAGATCTGTCGCACGATCAACCGTGCAAGCCGCGTGCTGTATGTCTCCCTGTCCTAAAAGCGTCCATTTGAGTGCCTAGGTGGTATTGCTAGCTCTTACTGACAATGCAACAGTGTGCCATTCAAGGTATTTTCCAATTGATAGCATAATCATATTCACGCACAACAGCCTAACCAAATCCAGATTGCTTGCAGAAAAACTCCTTTAATGAGGACAAATGCCAGGCACAAATTGATGCTTTGTACGAATGCTGCAATGCCTTCTACCAAGCACAAGGTGACCAGGCGTCTACCCTCAGCTGCCCTAAAGCAAATTTGCTGCGGTTGAAGATGAAGCAACGAGCTCAAGCAGCAGAGAAGCAGTGATGATGTTTTATATATGTATTTTTAAATTTCAAGTGACCCATGTCGAAGATGGAGGATGTCACAATTCCCTTGCGGTCTGAGGTTCCATATGGAGGAACCCAGGCTAATTGAAGAACTGCATTTATTATAAGACAATCGTGAGCACGCAGAGAGGCCTCATGGACCTGTACGAAAATTGAGTTTTCATACCGAGACTCTAATGAAAGCCTATAGACATTAGAGAAGAAAAGAAAAGAAGGAGAGAAGGGCGCGGACGAAAATTCGTTGAAATAGCTTCTGGTGTTTCCGCTAGTCCCATTTAGGGTTAGTCTGTCAACGCGAAAACCAAAAGAGACAAACACAACTTATTCCACAGAGCTCCTCTCCAGGCCTCTCTCTCTCTCTCCTCCCTTCTATCTAAGTCTCCCCCATCATGGCGCCTTTAACTCGATCGGCTGCTGGGGCATTTACACCGGTGCGCCCGTGTTCTTTGTTCTTTGCTTCTTTTTTTGTTACATTCTAACCCTTTGTATAGGTTGCCCCGAGGCAAACTGAAGTGATCAGTATTGACGATGATTCGCAACAATCTTACGATGAGGATGAAGAATTGGAAGACAAGGAACTGAATTCGGAAGATCAATCTGAAGACCAGTCTGAAGATCAAGATGAGGACATGGACGAAGATATGGATGGCGACACCGTATCGGAGACCGGGTCCGATGTTTCTGATCCTGAGCCTTCTATGCAGTCTGCCTTTGGCATTTCGGTCAAGTCTGAAGGTTGGTTCAAGAACTGCTGTCTGATTCGCATTTACTAAATTCTATCCCAGATGCCCCGCTGTTCACCGCTGCAGGCGCCCAGGAAGCACTACACCCCCTTCGCCGGACGGCTGACCGCGTCACTCGCCAGATCGAAGCATTTGCCGATAAGCTAGATCAGTTCAAGCGCGACAATTCTACCGACGAGTTCAACAGTGCGCAGGCAGCTTACAAGCTCGTGCAGAGCTACCGCGACATTGCGAACAATGCGATCAAGGAAATCGAGACCCAACAGACCGTGGACCGGACAAAGACAGGCTTCCGGTCGAGCGGGTCGCAAGACACCAAGAATTATGAGGAGATACGACGATTGCAACTCGAGGCCGACACTTGGCGCCTCCTACTCAACTTGATCAGCATTGATGACCCCTCCAGCCGGGCCAGTTACAAGGTCGGACGACAGACAGCTTTCCAGAACCTTCACCGCTATTCAAGCGATCGCGAGATCTGGGAAGAGTTCCTCAATGCCGACCACTATGGTCTTGAATGTGTGGTTGCTATGCGATGGTTGGAGGAGACCTCCAAGACAGGAAACCAAGATTTCGACACTCTGATCTTGGAAATGGAGCAATACTCGCGAAGAGGCCAAGGATCGTGGACATCCGGTTGGCTTTATACCAAAGAGTCGATCAAGGGCCACAAACGTTTGCGCGCCTGGCCACAGCCTCTCGACCCCAATGACCCGGGAATCTCGCGCTCGCTTTTGAGCAAAGGCGAACAGAAACCGCTAGTCACTCAACTCGACCCTGATGCCATCACCCGTCAGAAGCACAGTCTAGAAAAGGAGGACAAATTCTTCGAGCGTGCCACCTGGATAACTTGCTGGAAGATGCTCAGACAGGGCGAGAACTGGACTAAGATTCGTGAATGGGCAGAGACTCGTCTGGAAGGATGGAGGGCCGTCAGCTTGTGCGGCTCTAGTGTGGATCCCAAGACAGGAAGTTCTCGATACCCATCTGACGATGGCCACACACGTTTGATGAACAGCCGATCCCAGGATTCATGGCGCACCGCCTGCTCTGCGCTAACACGCGACCCAAATACTGATGAATTCCAGCGAGCGGTCTACGCTTTACTTTCTGGCGAAACCGATGCTGCGGCCAGTGTCTGCCGCAGCTGGGACGACTTCCTTTACGTCTACTTCAACCGCGTCGTACTCTCGCGCTATCAAGGATTTTGCAAGCAATTCCACCGGAAATTGAGCCACTTCCCCAACACCCCTGTGGCATTCAACCCGGAGCCGGCTGGTCACGCAGAACTTCAAAAGTTCCTTGTCTATCTCAGGGGTAACGACCGGGTCAGCGGCGAAGCACGTAATCCGTTCCGCAACATCCAGGCCGCGATTCTCAGTAAAGGCTACGACACATTCTTCACTTCTTTGGCGCACGCTGTATCTCAAGTTAGCGCCGATAAATATGGGAACAGCTCTGTTATCCCAGAGATTGCGCGCAAGCCAGTAGATGAATCTTTCCTCATAGCTGCCGATGACGAAGAAGCTCTCAGGATTGCATCTCATGTTTACGTTGTGGCCAGTGCGAGGGGGTACGCCCGCGTGGATGCCCATTTCGTCGAAACAGCATCGGTCATCGTGGCTGGACATGTTGCCAACCTGGAAGAAAGAGGTCTATTCCACCTTGTCCCTCTTTACGTGTCTCTCCTCCCCGCGCCAATGGGACACGAAGTTCTATCCAAGATTCTCATTGAAATTGTTGACCCACAAGAAAAGATACAGCAAGTCCGGCTCGCGCGCAAACATCACATTGACATGGAAACTGTTCTTGATGTTCAATGGGCGTGGGCGAAGGAACATGTCTCTGCGATCGAACATTCTAGAGGAGTCACTGGTTATTCGAGAGTGCTGCGACGACCTGACGGTTCCCGGGCATTGGTGTCACCCAAGACCGACTTGATTGGGACCTCCGTCGCTCCTGAAGACGACAGGATGATTCGAAGTCTGGAGTGGCTTCGCTACATCGATGGCCAGTGGGATAAGATTTGCGATCTTGGATCCTGGCTGTACCGCAAGTTCTTCCGTAGGTTTTGTCACTCCTGTTGTTGAAAAACCGCCCGAACTGACTTTTACCAGTTGCTGATAAGCTTGCCGCTGCTCGCGAGGTGAGTTTCCGTATTCGGTTGGCTGATATCTCAATTGAAAAATTCGGATCCGATATCATTTCTATGCCTCCGCAAGAGGGAGCACAAACCGAGTCAACCACACCAAGTAGCCCCACCAAATCGAAGAGAAACAGCCTCCACCGACGAAGTCTTTCTGGCTCCAACAATATTGCACTGGTTTCGGCATACTACAAAGCTCATAGGGTTCTAGATCTGGAGAGTTTGGCTCTCGGGTTTGATGCTGTGGAGCAATTTGCATTGGTGCACGAGCAGATGTCCAAGTGAGTCCTCCCTTCCCCTGTTTCATCTCACCATCAAAGCTAATCAGCCCAGGACCAAACGTCGACGTGACTCGGGCACCTTGAAGGGCATGGGTCAAGACATGAACGAATGCGTGACTATTCTAGAAGACTGGGTTGGCGCAGTGGTCGCTGAAGACTGGCTACCCACATCTACCGATGGTATGTACTCGATGTTTTCGCGTTGGAATCTCAAGACTAACGGTTTCCTACAGCCGAGGAAGAACAAGACTTCGAACACATTCGGACAACCTACATTCCGGAGTTACTTCTCGATTGGCACAACGCTTTGTACTACGCCAGTCACACCCTCGAGCGCCACGACCTGTTGACATCCTGCATGATTGTGTCTATCTGGGCTGCAAACTACGAGCACATCACTCGCGCCTTTACAAAGTCACGACGCATGGCCGAGCTTGTCGATGTGCTCGCTTTGTCCAGCAAGGCCTTGGTCATCCGGGACTCCAGCCAGCGCAAGTCCCCAATGGACCACACCACCTTCGAAAAGGGCCAGGAATTGAAGATCTGGGATGTCACGATCTCCGAAGAAGAAAAGAAGAGGCTCGGGGTCGTATCGTCCGCAGATCGGGAGCAGTAAATCTAGCGGCGATTTGTTCTGTGTACATTAGCATGGGATTTGAGTGGATTTGAGTTTTTTTATTTTTTTTAACGGCGAGGCTCTGATATGAACGAAACTGGGTCAAATATGGAAGGAGGACAGGTTACTTCGTTTTACTACAGCTACTGCATGTCAATAAGACATCTATGAATGCACAACATCGTCTTTTATCAACAGTATACTCCTATATCGTCCTAGTCGTGCATTCGAAATGCCTAATTTAGATCTACCTGACTCATTTCAGGGTATGCCGTAACTAACAATAAAATCATCTCTTATTAGACTTATCTATATTCAAACAAAGAGTTGTCCTGGGAACTGGGTGACACTTGCCATCGATATCCTAAATTGCAGGGGTCCCAAGTCTTACCATTCTACAAATAATTCACATTTTATTATAACTCTTCGCTGACCTACTGCAATCTGTCCACCACGTCACATCCGCGATGACTATTTCATCAATATCTGAACCACGACGCCCGATAGTTCATCTCAATGGCTTCCCAGGCGTCGGAAAGCTAACCATCGCCCACTCCCTTCTAAAGCAACTCCCCTCCGCAAAACTCGTGCATAACCACCTCCTAATAAACCCCGCCGACGCTGTTCTCCACCGCACCCAGCCAGGTTATCAAAGCCTCCGCCGCGGAATCCGGAGCTCTATATTCTCCGCGCTGGCCAATGAGCCCGCAACATTCGACACAACTTACATCTTTACGGATTTCCAGAGCGACGACGGCCTCGGCACGGCCGTGTGCGCAGAATATCTCGCCACTGCAGAAGCACGACGTGCCGTTCTCGTACCTATTCTGCTCTTCTGTGACGAAAGGACCAATATGCAGCGCCTGGTCTCGTCGGATCGAGAATTACACTCGAAGCTGACAGACGTCGAGCTTGTCACCCAGTTCCGTCGTGAGGGGGATGTACATCGCTTCACTGGCCACCCAAATTATTTGGAACTCGATGTGTCTCATTTCACGCCCGAAGAGGCAGCGAAAACGATATGTGAGCATATCAGGGGTGTTTGTCCGGAGTTGTAAGATGGCGGGATGAAGGGTAATCAATGGGCGAGCAGTGGACGTCTCTCGGCGAGTGATGGATTTTTCCAGTATATTTCCTCTGACTATTCTTGGTTCTATTGCCAAAATATCAAACACATAGTTAAAAGATCTTTGGATAAGTGGGTTATCAGGTTGTCATGGTCTTACCAGTAGCTACTACTAGATCGTCGCTGGTATGTTGGAGAGGGTCAAGTTACACCTAGTAAGAGACGGGAAAATAAGTTCTAGCCTAGGAAACTAATGGAACTTCATTGATAGTGGTTGAGAATGTAGGCAGACCTGATGGAGGTAAAGTTACAGAATCTGTATAGCAATAGTGTATGTTTAAGAATATAGAATGTGGATGGTAAGTAAAGATGAACGGCACAATAAAGGATTCCACCCTATACATACATAGTATTTATACTCTAGCCCACAGTCTGGCCCCAACCGTCACGCTGGGATTTCCAGTGTCTCAACCTTAAAACGAAAAATTTCTGCAAGAGCAGTCGGCACGGCCTCATCCTTAATACTTGGTTCCGGTTAGGGGGTCATATATCCCTAGTAATCCTTGCTATGGGGCGCGGGACCTCAGACAGCAATATCGAGTCGCTGGGAGGGAAGGCCCGTGGATTGTGATTATCTTGGTATGAGCGTAGTGGCCCTTGAACCTTAAGAACATTCTACATCGAGGAACCCTAGGGCCAGCCATCAAAGCACGAGCAGCAAGTAGCATGGTTGGCTAGATTGACTTCCTCGCTGGGGAGGTTGAGGGAATCATGAGCTAAATAGATGCGAGGTACGACGAGTGTGTACCTAATAAGGAACTTTGCCCTTAGGAGAGATCATTGCGACATGTCCAGCTTCTTCCCAGGCGCGGTGCTACGACAGATCGCCTCTAATAGTGCGGGCCATGATATCTTGATCAAGATAAAGCGAGGTTAATGGTTTGAAAATATATTGATACCAAAGGGAGAGGCAGTGATATAGAGCGCACATATATATACAGTCAGAACACCTAGACCGCGCGGATAGAGCCGTCAGCCGATAAACATTAAGCATATACATACCAAAGATCGTCATCAACTGCAGAGACTGTCCTACAGCAGTGATATTACCAACGGGAGACAACCCCTGCTTGGTGTGTTCACGCGGGGCCGTCGCGGGCCCGAAGCTCGGATGGACTCCCCCGCTCACGAATATGGGCACCTACATTAATTAGCCTTGCCTTCGTCTTCATGGGTATCATTCTGCAAGACGCGCAATGCCAACACGCCGCCAAAGAACTCAAAATTTAGCCTGGTGGCGGTGATATTGGCCTCCATGGTCCCAATATCATGCAACAAACAAGCGAGGAGGCAAGTTTGGTTGTCCAAGTCCCAGTTTGCAAACAGGAATCGGTATCGTTTGCAAGCTCGAAATCATACACTCGTTGTGAGTGGTTGTAGACCTGGTTGGGTGCGTGTGTGCTAGTGGGGTTTCTAGGATTGGGGGGTTGGGGGAATGGTTGGTGCTGGGTAAAGTAAGGTGTACTCCGTACTGGTGAGGAGGTCTTGGGCAGAGGCTGGGACGGCGGTGAGGCCGTATTTGTTGGTTGGGTTGGACATTTCCTGGTTTTGAGGCTTTTGGGTTTTGATTGGGCTCTGTATGTTTGGGAGGTGAGAGGGTTGTCGGGATTAGTTAAGGAGAATAAGATTTTAGATTTGAGTGTTATCTTTTGTTGTGCTACATGTGTGACTTTGGGGCTGAACGGAAAATTTATGGCATGGGAGGTATATCTTGTACAACGTAACTATATACTAGGTATGCCCGATTCGGCTGGTTTAGATCTGTAGAGGACCGAGCTATATCGTAGGTCTACTTTATGTGCCCCGTGTAACGATTCTAAGCTTTTGATGGGTTTGAGCCAGTCTAATTAATGCATTGTGTTTACGAAGTACCTAGGTACCCTGATGTATGCCGTACGATGGCTTCGATGCAAGGATCGGATGTGGTCTGAGTGTGGCTGAGTCTATGTTTATGTGGTGCTATAACACCAGTTAATGTTCTACTAGTCCGTCAAGTTCCGGAAATCAGAGTTTGATTTTATAGATGAAAAAGGAAAAGTCTTACATATGGACTCCATCAACGTCGATCATCGTTGTAAATAGGGGACGTCACCACTTTGTTCAAGGGGCATACATATTGAGAGGCTGGATTAGAGATGAATAACTTAACGTCTGGGCTTTAATTGAATCTGTTAAATCTTCATTTGAAATTAGATCCAAGTGATTTAACATTTATTCAAGCTCTCTTCCAAATATTTTATTTTATTTTTCCATATTCCTCCCCCCTTATTTTGCCGAATCGGGATGTTGAGCATGTCCATTGTCTTGGCAAGTGAGGCAGTGCAGGCACTATATAGCTTGGTATTGGTGGTCTTTGCGGGATTTGCTCCTTATTCGTTAATTACCCACGTAAATATGGTGAAGAATTTTCTTCATTTTTTACAGACAGGAATATTATAAGATGGGTTATAGTTATGGGTTTATAGGTTAGTTATATGGGTTATATGGAGTACATCATCTACTTACAGTAGGATAACTCAAAGTGGAGAAATTGAAGGCCAAAAAAAAGGAAGAAATCCAATACTTAAGTCGGTAATCTAGGTAATCTATGCTGTAGGTAATCTAAGTAATCTAAGTAATCTAAGGTAACTAGGGTACTCCGTAATGAAGTTCTCGACCGTCCGGGTGGAGAGATAATTGACGTCTCCAACGGGGGCAAGTATTACCTTGCCGCTTGCCTCTCCTATCTTTTACACCTTTACACTTTTACACTTTACACCTTTACACCTTTACACTCTTTCAACCCTTACCTCTGGGGAGTTTAGGAGTTTTATGGAGTTCTTATCATTCTCTACTTTCTCCTTATCCACATGAACTACTCATCTACAAGGGTGTGTGCCACGCATGAATCGCGCATTGAATAGACACTCCCACAATGTCTGATCCGCACCCAAAAGATGAGCCGGGCCAATCAACCCTGCGCAGAGAGCGCGCGCCGACCATTACCATCGACACCTCGGCCGTCAACTCCCCTGATACCGAACACCCTCCCATCCAAGTCCTCTCTGGAGGATCACAGACCTACACCGATAATGCACAAGCCCCCGACACAACAGCACTGCTAAGCAATGGCAGTGTTTCTCCCACGGATATGCGGTCCACGTCCTCGATTCGCTCCAATGCCTCCTCCGAAGCTCGGGAACGAGAGAGCCGGCCAACCTCCCCACACAACATCTCATCACCCAAGATGAAGGCGCCTGAGGCACACTCAAACTTCCTTTCTGTTCCTGGAACACGCTCTCGAGGCAACTCCTTGGAGTCGGATGAGACTGGCCAAACATCGAGCACCTACGGCGGTGAAACATATGTGCCCTCAACATCCCACGAATCGAGATCCGATTTGGTCAAGAACGCCGCCATAAACGACATACACGATGAGGATGCCCTGACCCCAGACCCTGGCCGCGAATCCGAGTTCGAGGTTGAGGACAACAAGTTTGCTTTTTCCCCTGGTCAGCTGAACAAGCTTCTAAACCCGAAAAGCTTTAGCGCCTTCCACGCGTTAGGAGGTCTGCGAGGATTGGAAAAAGGCCTTCGAACTGATGTAAAAAGCGGCTTGAGTGTTGATGAGACAACCCTTGACGGAACTGTTCGTTTTGACGAGGTTGTTTCACCTTCCTCGCCTTCCTCGCCAAAGAAGAATATACCCAAGTCTGCCTCTCCAAATACATCACCGCCACCCGCCACTGAGGATCCCATCGTAACCCAGGGCGGAGAAGATTTCTTCGACCGCCGACGTATCTACGGGGATAATAAGCTTCCAGAGAAGAAATTGAAGACTATCTGGGAGCTTGCATGGATTGCCTACAACGATAAGGTGTTGATCTTATTGACGGTCGCAGCTGCAGTTTCACTTGCTGTGGGAATTCCGCAATCACTCCATCCAGCAAATCCTGATGAACCTGGCGTTGAATGGGTTGAAGGCTTGGCCATTCTTGTGGCCATTATTATCGTGGTTACGGTCGGTGCGGCGAACGACTGGCAAAAGGAACGACAGTTTGCGAAACTCAACAAAAAGAAGGAGAATCGACAAGTCAAAGTGACGCGGTCCGGCCGAACGGAGGAAATTTCCATCCACGATGTCTTGGTTGGTGATTTGATGCTTCTGGAACCTGGTGATATGGTCCCAGTTGATGGGATCTTGATCGAAGGCCACGACCTCAAGTGCGACGAATCTTCAGCTACTGGCGAGTCTGACGTTCTCCGCAAAACCCCAGGCGATGAAGTGTACCGGACAATCGAGCAACACGAAGACCTGAAGAAGATGGATCCTTTTATCATTTCTGGTGCCAAGGTTTCTGAGGGCGTCGGCACGTTTTTGGTCACTGCTACCGGTATGCACGCCACCTACGGCCGGACGATGATGTCCCTCCAAGAGGAGGGCGAGACAACACCTTTACAAACTAAGCTCAACAAGTTGGCTGAGTACATTGCCAAGCTCGGTCTCGCTTCTGGTTTGTTGCTGTTTGTGGTCCTTTTCATCAAGTTTTTGGTTAGTCTCAAGGGCATGGAAGGTGGTGCCGACCGCAAGGGTCAAGCATTCCTGCAGATTTTCATTGTTGCTGTTACAATTGTCGTTGTCGCGGTACCTGAAGGTTTACCACTTGCTGTCACACTCGCTCTGGCCTTTGCTACAACACGAATGCTCAAAGACAACAACCTGGTTCGCTACCTCAAAGCTTGTGAAACTATGGGCAATGCTACCACGATTTGTTCTGACAAAACTGGAACCTTGACGGAGAATAAAATGACTGCAGTGGCTGCGACGTTGGGTACCACGTCTCGGTTTGGAAAGTATTCTGGTGTCTCGTCCGATGATCAAAGTGAAATAACCCCCTCGGATTTCGTCTCTACCCTATCGCCCTCGGTGAAGGATGTCTTACTCCAATCGATTGTGTACAACTCAACCGCATTTGAAGGCGAGGCCGATGGAGTTAAGACATACATTGGATCCAAGACAGAGACTGCCCTCTTGACTTTCGCTAGGGATTACCTCGGAATGGGGGTTCTTGGCGAAGCGAGAGCGAACGGCAAACTCGCGCAGATGTTCCCATTCGACTCAGGCCGCAAATGCATGGCAGTTGTGGTCCAGCTGGAGAATGGGAAATACAGAATGTTAGTTAAGGGCGCTGCAGAGATTCTAGCCGCCAAGTCGACGCGCATTGTCCGAGACCCTACCGACTCTCTGTCGGAGGCTCCTGTTACCGATGAGGAGAGGAGTTCACTGGACAATATTATGAACAACTACGCCACCCGCTCCCTCAGGTGCATTGCCCTGGTTTACCGTGACTTCGAACAATGGCCACCCCGTGGGGCTCCTACGGCGGAAACCGATCGCAACCAGGCAGTTTTCGAACCTATCTTCAAGGACATGGCAATGTTGGGAATCTTCGGTATTCAAGACCCTGTCCGAGCAGGTGTTGCCGAGGCAGTGTACACATGTCAAAAAGCTGGAGTGTTCGTTAGAATGGTGACTGGTGATAACATCATAACCGCTAAGGCTATCGCCCAGGAGTGTGGTATCTACACACCTGGTGGTATCGCCATTGAGGGACCCAAATTCCGCAAGCTGAGCTCACGCCAAATGAACCAAATCATCCCAAGACTCCAGGTCATCGCCCGCTCTAGCCCCGATGATAAGAAGATCCTGGTGAATCAACTCAAGAAGCTTGGAGAGACTGTTGCTGTCACTGGTGATGGTACCAACGATGCTCAGGCTCTCAAGAATGCCGATGTTGGTTTTGCAATGGGTATCACTGGTACCGAAGTTGCCAAAGAGGCCTCTGACATTATTCTCATGGATGACAACTTCTCCTCTATCGTCAAGGCTATGGCATGGGGTCGCACCGTCTGTGACGCCGTTAAGAAGTTCCTTCAGTTCCAAATCACTGTCAACATCACCGCCGTTATTCTCACCTTCGTCTCTGCAGTCGCTAGTGATAGTGAGGATTCAGTGCTCAGCGCAGTGCAGTTGCTGTGGGTCAATTTGATCATGGACACCTTTGCCGCTCTCGCTTTGGCGACAGACCCTCCTACACCAACAGTGCTCGACCGCAGACCCGAATCGAAATCCGATCCCCTCATCACTCTGACAATGTGGAAGATGATCATTGGACAGTCCATCTATCAGCTGGTTGTAACTTTCGTTCTGAATTTCGCCGGAGCTAAGATTTTTCCTTGGGATTTCGGCCACCTGCAGACTGTGGTATTCAACACTTTTGTGTTCATGCAAATTTTCAACCAGTATAACTCTCGTCGTATTGACAACAAGCTCAACATTTTGGAAGGTATCTGGAACAACCGTTGGTTCATTGGTATTCAGCTCATCATTATTGGAGGTCAAGTCTTGATCATCTTTGTTGGCGGCGCTGCTTTCTCTGTGAAACGTCTTGACCAAGGCTCGCAGTGGGCCGTTAGTCTTGTTCTCGGAGCGATCTCTTTACCCATCGCTGTGATCATTCGTCTTATTCCGGATGAATTCGCCGCCAGGCTTGTGCCCC